TAACTATTAAATTAGCTTTAAAAAAAGTTCTCTCATCTGATGCATTCCATTTTAATTTCCAACCTAAGTTACTAAATTAGAAGCACTTTGAAAAGCTATGCTCATAACTGAGATATGCGATTTATTTTCTAACGGTGTTCAAAAACCCTTTGCAGTCAACAAAAAGATTGAGAAAGAAGTTGATAACTACGAAGTCAAGTACCGGGGAAGAGAGCTACCAGGATTCATCAACTACAAGACCTTTGAGGGGCTTGTCAGGGACCAGATCAAGCTGTTGGAGGAACCTGCGTTAAAGACACTGAAGACCGTCTCTGGTTAACATTGTTTTGCATTTCGAATCCATTTTCAGTTGCTTAATGTTGCAAGGCTATTCTGACGCCACTTTTATATACGAGTATACAGTTGTCAATATTTAAAGTGGATCAAAAAAATTTCTAAATAGTCATTAGTCAGGAGAGCATGTGTTGTTGAATTGTTATAGGACAACTTCAATAAAGAGTAAGGATCCACTTTATATGCTGACCACTGTATTCTCATAATGCACTACATGTCCCAAGTATGCAGACTCAAAAGTAAAGTTTTAGAACGGCAAATCAATGGAACAAATCAATGAACATGACAATCTAACCACAGCATTTCAGTTGGCACAATACATTTGTAGGTACAGTTTTGTTGCCTGTAAAGTGACCAATGAACTGAAGACCTTGATGTAACCCAAGTTTGTTCAAGATGTTTTTGTTTTAAAGGCACTGTAAAATTTATTTGAGGTAAAGGTTTAGATATTTAGTACAGAGTAATAACAGTAACAAAACAGGGTTTGCTGGATGATCAAGATTGAAATTAAAAGTTATAATCAACAGTGTGTTTGTTTTTGCACAGATGTGGTTAGAAAGAAGTTCATCCAACTGGCCCAGTGCAGTTTCATTGGATTCCCTAATCTTCTGAAAATAGCAAAGGTAGGATTTTATGTGTGCTTTCTGGTAGATGTGGTTCATCTGTAAGAGTATTATTATATAGGCAGAAGCTGTAATTACCTGAATGATAGAACTCTGCAATAGATGTTTTGTGTAATTTACAGACTATTTTATGTCGGTCAGTAAGCTTGATGTGTTATACCTATATACAGTTGCAATCAGAATTATTAACCCCCTGATTTTTTTTTTCTTTTTTAAATATTTCCCAAATTATGTTTTTTACAGAGCTAGGGAATTTTCACAATATGTCTGATAATATTTTTTTCTTCTGGAAAAAGTCGTATTTGTTTTATTTAGGCTAGAATAAAAGCAGTTTTTAAAATTTTTTAAAACCATTTTAAGGTCAATATTATTAGCCCATTTAAGTTATATTTTCTTCCGATAGTCTACAGGACTAACCATCATTATACAATAACTTTGTATAATTACCCTGGCCTGCCTATTAACCAAGTTAGCCTTTAAATATCACTTTAAGCTGTATAGAAGTGTCTTGAAAAATAATGTAAAATATTATTTACTGTCATCATGGCAAAGATATCAATAATCAGTGACTAAAAATGAGTTATTAAAACTACAATGTTTAGAATGAATCTTCTCACCGTTAAACAGAAATTGGGAAAAAAAAAATAAACAGGGGGCTAAAAATTCAGGTGGTTCAATAATTCTGATTGCAACTGTATAAATAAGAAAGAAACTCATTCAGGTTAAAAGGAACAAGTGGAAAATATCATTATGAAACTAACCCATTTAAAAGAGGACACACCAAAAGGTGATGTGTAAACTAGTGTGCAAAATCTGTGAACATTTTAATCTTTTAGTTTAAACATGCATGTGAATAGTTCAGTTGTGTTTGCTTTATATTCTCTGAGAACTAACATGGCTTTCTTTTCCTTTCCCGAATTCCTCTGCAACTCAAAGTATTCTAAACTCATATTTGCAATATAATATAAGCAATTATAAGCAATTAAAGCATAAAAGCAATTAAAGTGTCAAATGTAAGATAAACTTATACTTGTGTATACATACAGTTGAAGTCAGAATTATTAGCCCCCCCATCCGTGATTTTGATTTTCTTTTTTAAATATTTCCCAAATTATTTTAAACAAAGCAAGGAAATTTTCACAGTATGTCTCATAATATTATTTCTTCTGGAGAAAGCCTTATTTGTTTTAATTCAGCAAGAATAAAAGCAGTATTACATTTTTAAAAACCCATTTTATGATCAACATTATTAGCCCCTTTAAGCTATATATTTTTCCATAGTCTACAGAACAAACCATCGTTATACAATAACTTGTCTTATTATCCTAACCTGCCTATAATTAACCTAGTTAAGCCTTTAAATGTCACTAAGCTGTATAGAAGAGTCTTATATTATTTACTGTCATCATGGCGAAGATCAAATAAATCAGATATTAGAAAAGAGTTATTAAAACTATTATGTTTAGAAATGCGTGAAAACATCTTCTTCGTCAAACAAATTGGGGAGAAAAATAAACAGGTGGGCTAATAAATCTGACTTCAACTGTATATAGTCTTTCAATAAACTTGTGTAGATGTTGAGTGGTTAGAATATAAAGCTTACTAGTTTAATTAGATTTGATTAGAAGAGAAACTGTTCTTTTACAGTTGACAATAACATGTTTTATACACAACCACAGACTAAGATTGAAGGCATTAAGCTAAACAAAGAATCCCTGGCAGAATCTATGCTGAAAACTCAATTCAAGATGGAGCTCATCGTTTACAGCCAAGATGGCACATACAGCCAGAGTCTAAAGCATGCAAAGGATAAATTGGAGGAGATGGAAAAAGAAAGGCCACAACCGAAAATAAAACTGCCCTTACTTTCGAGTTTCGACCTTGGCACAGACAATCATGCCACCTTGCGTGAGATGAGGTTGCACCTTAAATCCTACTACACAGTAAGTGTCTAATAAACTTTCTATGCAGAGGTAGATTCATTTTAAATGTATATCTGAGATGCTGTCTAATCTACCGTAACAGATTGCAAGCAAGCGTCTAGCTGACCAGATCCCAATGGTGATCCGCTACATGCTGCTGCAGGAAGCTGCTTTGGAGCTGCAAAGGAACATGTTACAGCTGCTGCAAGATAAAGACGGTGTAGACAACCTGCTTAAAGAGGACTGTGACATTGGCCAAAAGCGAGAAAACTTACTGAGCCGCCAGAAACGTTTAATGAAGGCACGCAGCCTCTTGGTCACCTTTTAGAAGTTACTTTCATAGATTACTGCAACATTTTAATGCAATGAAATCGTATGCTGGTACTGAAGAAAATTATCAGCATTGACAGCAAAGAAGTAAACATTCATGCTGTTTTTTTTTTTAAAGAAATATTCCTTTGAGGAAACATGGTTTTTCAAAGCTACCTTTGTTATTTGAAGTGCGTCTTGACCAGTGTCAGATGCTGTATATGACTTTTGGGACATGGTATTCTTATTTAAGTACAAATTGATGAAGTGTCAGAACATTCAGTAAATTCATGTCATTTCAGTACTCTAAAAAAATATGACAATTTAATGTTTATATGTTACAACCAATGTTTCGAAAATTGATAAACTATTTAGTGCTTTGTACCAGAAATGCTGCAACAGATATTTTTTTAAATACCGTTTTCGAGGTATACCATGGTTTGGAAAAGTCATGGTTTTAAAACCGTCAACATTTCCTGTTATACCTTTCCTAAGGTATGTGTAAGATTTTTTTATTTACTTTTTTTTAGGACAACAGTATGTCCAGCAAAAAAATATATCCAAAAATACCATTTTAAATTTTAAAGAAATCTGTGTTTTTGGAACTAATGAAGACAGCAGAAGTCAATAATTCATTTGGATTATTTAGCTGGACATATTTACTGAATTTAGATATTAATATTTACAAAATATTTTAAATGTTTTACAAAATATTTTATATTTTAAATGTTTCTCAATATATATATATATATATATATATATATATATATATATATATATATATATATATATATATATATATATATATATATATATATATATATATATTGTGATCAAAGGGGGGAATTTTTTTTTTTTACCCAGTATTTAAAAATAACTTATTTTAGAGCCGTAACCACAATACCATGAAACTGATATTTTTATGCAAGGTTGTCATACCGTCAGAATCTTACACTGGCCCATGTCAAGTGCACAATGCTGTTCTTTTTTTTGCAAGTTCCTTATTGAGACTTTATATTTATTTCTGTGGTATATCAAATTATAATTTATACTGTATTTTTTTATATAGCAATTACACCAAACATATGTGTAAGGCATTTCTAAAATACAAACACCATAATTTGTAGTTTGATATAGTTATGCAATAAATATAATAAGTATCATTAACTTAACCTGAATCAATGCAACAAAACTGTGTGTGTGTGTTTATTATATATATATATATGTGTGTATATATATACACACATATATATATATATATTAGTTTAAGTCAGAATTATTAGCCCCTGGAGAGATTTTTTTTTCAACACATTTCTAGTCATAATAGTTTTAATAACTCATTTATAATAACTGATTTATTTAAGTTTGCCATGATTACAGTAAAATATATTTTGCAATATTTTTCAAGTCACTTCTATACAGCTTAAAGTGACATTTTAAGTCTTAGTTAGGTTAACTAGGCAGGTTAGGGTAATTAGCCAAGTTATTGTTTAACAATGGTTAGTTCTGTAGACTATTGAAAAAATATATAGCTTAAAGGGGCTAATAATTGACTAAAATGTGTTTAAAAAATTAAAACCTGCATTTATTTAAGCCAAAACAAACTTTTGTTAAATGAGAAAATTTCCTTGCTCTGTTAAAACATAATTTGGAAAATTAAGAAAAAAAATATTCAAAGGGGGTTTAATAATTCTGACTTATAGACATATGTACACACTATAAGATACTGTAAAATAATAATAATAATAATACATAAAACCTTGGGGTATTTGTTCTATTGACACGATAAATAGACTTCAAATAATCAGATTCATGTTGTTTCTGTTTTCCTTTAATTTAACACAGTAACAAAAAAGAACAAAAAGGAAAACCCTACAAGTATAATTTTTTTCTTTTCCACAAAATACAAGTTTGTAAATTCCATGAAGGTGAGCAAATTAAATTTGAAAATGAAATAATTTAATTCTGCTTTCACAACCTGACAAACACACCAACTAGATGAATGAGGGAAAACATTCTTAAAATGGATGCCACATCTCCTATTTATTATTTACTTCATAGACTTTTTTTTTTCCTTGCTATGAATGAATCTTAAACAATCCTAAATGACTGCACCACCACATTCCTTTTCTGTATAACAACTAAGCTGTAAATGATAACAGGCTGGTGTGGCACATGTCATATTGTACAGTGATAAAGATTATGCTAATTTTCTATGTTTGCACTCTACACAGGAAGGCATTTTTTAACCATAGCATGGCGAAAAAGATGGTTTTAGCGTAAACATTCATTACATATATACATCTGTACAATGTTCATCAAACAAAAACAAAAAATAAAAATCAGTGCCAAAAAGCAAGCAGACACTACTGATCTGTGTGGGATTTAAGCTTCCTCTCCCACAGTTTTTGATGGTCTGAGAATCCCTGCTTTCCTTTGTTGAAGGAATTGGGGCCAGCTGATGTGGGCGTTTCTCTGAAAATCAAAATAAAATTGTCAACAGTGCTTTAAATAACAGTACCATAAATTAAATTTAAAACAAAATGTTCAATTCCAATTAAATCCAACCTGCCAATATTCTTCATCCTCATCTTTGCCTCAGGTGGCATTTCTTCAGGCTCGCTCTGAAACATTAAATGCAAAGCAAGGAAATGTCTATTTTAGATATTTATTTGCATGATTTTACATATGCAAGAAACACAAAGGCAGCAGCTTAATCAAAGAATGACACATACATCATCGTCCTCATTAAAAACAGATGCAAGTCCAGATTTCTTGGGAGGTATGGCAGGGGGAGGCTCTTTAGGTTTCTAAAATAGGACAAGGAATAAAAATGTATTTTAAAAACGTTTAAATAAAAAAAAAATTAAAAAAACATTTTAATGTCAAACAAAAAAGAAAATATAATATATATATATATATATATACATACATTTGCTCCCAGCTTGATAGAGATGGCCATAGGTTTCTTTGCTGTCATGCTAAACCCTGACTTGAACATTTTAGGGGGAGCTGATGTGCTTTTGGACTCATCTTCTGGGTCGATCTCACGAGCAGGCCGCTTTCGCAGACTGTCTCCTGATGCCTTGCTGGAAGAGACAGTCTTAGTTTTCACACTGCTTCCCTTCTCTTCCGGTCCTGCTGGAGGCGAAACAACTTACCAAGGTGAGCGACTGATGCCTTGGAGACCAAAGGTGAGCTACAGTTACCTGAAAGATGAGGGATGCCAGGAGGACCTGCTCAGAGAGACGCTGTTGAGTCTAAAATCTAATCGATTAGTTTGATTCATTTCACTAACTGTCTCAACTAACTGATACCTAGGCCTGTCACAATAATCAATATATCGACTTATCATGCAATAGTTGGAGATGACCTTAATTTTTTGACATTGAAATATACATTTAAAATGTCACAAATAACATTAAAGCCATTTTACAATGGCAATAACATTCAACCTCACTGCTGTCAAAGTTTATAATTCAGACCCCCCAGTGGTTCATGATTCCATGATCGCTGAATCTAACGCAAAATCAACAAAAAGTCAAGATTTTTTTGCGATCCAGGAAAATTCTTAAACATATAATTGCACAAAAAAAACATCCAATTCCAAACTATATAATCAAATTATATTATTTGAATTAGCAATTTATTGTTTTTTGTGACTTGCAGATGTTGTATACCCAGCGCACGTGATGTATTCGAGTGTCTTTTCTCACCTGCGCCCTCACAATTCTAACATTACATGAGAGAGGTTTACATGTGAAGTCAATGCAAAGATTGGATTAGGGATCCTGTGGCGCGAAATCAGGCATTTTGTGTGTTTTCAACTCCGGGGAGTGAAATCTGAGAGAAAGTATGATTGTGGATAAAAATAAGAATTATACAACCTACCTTTGGTTTAATCCCTACCATTTTAAATCCCGTCTTGACAAGAGACCAAAATAACAAACTTTATTTTTGTGATTTGTGCACACCTAACATAGTAGGCTATATGGTAAATAATATAATAATAATAATTTATTTATTTTGTTTAATTGCAGAATTGTCCGCAAACGTCTGTGAATTAACACCACAAAATCAGTCATTTTTATCCCCCCCCCCCCCCCCCCCCCAAAAAAAAAACACAAGTAAATTGTAAGAAACTAGGGGGCTGATGATTGGACATTTACCTAATAGAAATTTAGTAGTATATATATATATATATATATATATATATATATATATATATATATATATATATATATATATATATATATAATAGAACCTTTTTAAGATCAAACTATAGAATCTAAATAATTTTAAGAATGAAAAGTATTACTGGCTATTTGCATTATTATATTATGAAATAATGATGAGGGTTTTCTGCAAGTTTAATAAAGTCAAATTTAAGACTTTTTAAGACCATAATGAATGAAATTTTAGACTAATACAGGGCTAAACACTGAGGAATATTTCTAATGGCCCAATTGGGCCATCAGATTTATTTATTTATTTATTTTTGCTTGCCAAAAATCAAATGTATATAAATTTCTTAGTGACATACTTAAACGTGTCAAAACAAACAATAACAAAAAGTTGTATGCACTATTTTAAACATTATATATATATATATATATATATATATATATATATATATATATATATATATATACATTTTGTTTAATTGAAAAGTTTAACATTATTAAAAGTATATTTATTGTGGAGGCAAATATCTGTTGATTTTTGGTGCAAATCGAGTATAACTTTTCAACCTAATGTATTTCTGTTTTCAAACCTTAAGTTTAATGTCTATTTATAAATGTATTTCTATATTTATAAATATTCTGTCTAGTCTACTTCCCCTTATTTCTGTAAATATTTTTGTTTGAATGAAAGATAACATAAAGCGATTTACATTAACAAAGTGTTTTTAGATTTCTTTACCTGATTTTAATAAGATAAATTGTTGGTGATTGAATAGATGTCAGCCTAATTGGGTCGCTTTACTTGGACAGAGAAAAATTAAAACCCGTTTAAAACTATTTAAGTCATACAACACAATATTTCAGTGAATTTAAGACTTTTCAAGGCCTAAAATTTTGTTTTTGAAATTTAAGACATTTTAAGAACACCCTAAATCATTATATAACCAGTAGCATAAAATTATCTAAAAATGACAATATTATCGCTTATCCCAAGAAGTTCTGTAACAATATATTGCACAACAAAAAATCCTTATTGTGACAGGCCTATTGATACCACAGAAACTGTCATTGTCCACATTTGGAAATGTTATTATGGCAGATCATGGGTAGAATCATATTTTATACTGGAGTGTGTAAATTCAATGTACGGATGTCAAAAAATAAATGTTGCAATTCTTTGTTACGTTACAATATCCAGCAAAACTGCTTTAAATTACATTTGTATTTACATTTGAAAGAAATTATTCAGCAGTTTACACTACAAAATGAAACAAAAAATATGTTTCACTCAAACACACCTATAAATCCACAATTAGGCGTTTTAATGAGCTCTTTTTTTCCATAACTGTGTGTGTGTGTGTGTGTGTGTGTGTGTGTGTGTGTAAACGCACCTCATGTATACAACGTTATACACACACCACACCGTATTTACATTTAACGTTAAGCGTTTCAGTTTTTGACCTCGCTTTATAGCATGATGTAAAGGTTTAACAAGTAAAACAAAACAAAAAATTAGTTAAACAAAACAAAAATTGAACAAAAATATGCGTCAGTCTTAGTCTACATTTAAATGAAGCATTAGCCTTAAACATTACACATTTAACGTGACATAAAACAATAAAAAACAGTCCGTTACTAGCGAACACAGCTAACGTTAGCTTGCTCAACCTAGCCACGAAGTCCAACTCCTCGGCTATAACTAAATATTATACCTACGTGGACAGATGCGAGTTCTCTATATATTCTCGCAGACTTCAACATGTGAATTAACAGCAAAATAAAAACAGTTTTGACAGTTTCACCTCCTTCTTGAGAGGGGCCTTCGCTGCTGTACTTCTCATTCGCCATCGCAGGACTCTATTTTAGGCACATACGGATACCGGAGAGGACAAAATACCTCTGCAGTCGCAAAAAAAAAGGTCGCTTCAGTTCTTCAGCCTGCAAACATCATTCGACGGAGGGAGAAACGGCGCCATCTTGCGCTCGCTCAGACAGAGCAAACGAGCGTGGTGTCGTAAATGTTAACATTTCCCTTATTTTATAATGTTTAAAAATGAATTTAATAAAACAAACAATTTGCTAGTATACAATTTTGTAACGTGAGCTGACATTTTGATGGATTTTAGGTGTACGTTACAGGAGGATCCCTCGTGCCAGGTAAATTGTGTAACCTCCAAAATCAATGACAGGCTAATGGTACTATAGTCAAATTTGTCTACTTTTAGATTTATAATGTTATGTAGCATATATACAATTCTAAACAACAATACAATAAGTAAATATAACCTGCTGATTTCTCTTTTTGGAGACTGTATAATATTTTTTATTGTGTTCTCACAGGTTTACAGATATTGCAACTGTAACAGTATGTTTTAACTAACGTTAACATTAACAAAGGTTAACAAATGCTTTAACATATATTGTTCATAGTGAAATTTAACTAACTAATGAAATAACTAGTGTTTGCACGTAATTCATATTAAAACATAAATCCGATTAACAAACATACACAGATCTTTTAATTTTTTAAATATTTTTAATAATACATAATTACAAATAAAATGTGTGCTTGGTAAAGTTGAAATGAATTTAAGTTAAATGAATAAATGCTTTAGATGCGTTACTTTAATGTGCATTCATCTCCCACCGCATTGTATTTGTGATTACATTTACATGTAGCTTTACATTTCATTACCTTCATATATGGTTTTAGACAGACTAGCAAGTGGATGATTTTCACAACCAACATAAGCAACATTTTAAAAATAACTTCACCTGCATTTGTCCACTTACAGGTTTATAATGTTATGTAACCTATATCCAATATGCCTAGATTTGAATATCAACCCTAAAAAACAATAAAAACAAAATAAATATAACCTACTGATACTATTTAGTTGATTAGATTTTATTGGTGTTCTCTCAGCTTTACTGATAATGCAAAAAAAAACAACAACTGCATTTTAATTAACATTAGCAAAGGTTAATGAATGCTCTCAAATATATTGTTCATAGTTTCATTTTCCTAACTAATGAAATAACTAGTGTTTGCATATATTTCATATTAAAACACAAATCTGTTTAACAAATAAATCTTTTAAGTATGTGATAAAATGTACAAATTTATACAACAAGCTGTGCAATATTCTGCAAGTAACAGCACTTGTACAGCCTCTTCACCCCTCATTATTGTGTTTTACTCTGCCAACATACAGCGACAAGCAGAGGACAATCTACAGTTTGACAATATTACTGCTGTTGGGCAACAATGTACTTTTGAGGCTTTTTTAGTCAAGATTGTAGTTTAGATTGCAACCATGCAGTTTATTTATAAGGATAGTGCCTATTTTAAAATATTTATCATTTCAGAGCATCAGATTCACTGCATTGGCCACCATCAGCCTGTCCGAGCAGACCAAAGAAAGTGACGGTTTATGTTCCACCATAAGATGGCAACAGAGACCGCATAATAAGTTGTTAGGGGAGGAAAAAACTGCATTTGCTCAGCTTAAGTTTCAAACTACAGCTGAACAAATCATTAAAAAATCAGGTAAGTGGCATTCTAAGTTGATCTCTTTCTTTTGTATTTTGTAGTGCTGTATTTACACCACAGAAACTGGTAGTGTTTGCTTTGGCTTTTTTTTTTGTAGTAATTATTGAGAAATCCCGATTGCAACAGAAATACTAGAAAATCTCTGTAGCTTCACAATTTTATAATGTGAGCAAAATCACTTGTTTTGTCATCACTTTAGATATCAAGCTAGAGAATCATTCAAACACTAGCTAAAGTGACTCTGGTGAACTGGCAACGGTTTCTGCTGCACATGTGTATGAATGGTGGAAGAGAGTAGTACCTCGTACAGAAGGTTTTTTTTAGACTCTCTGTGTTTGATTGATTTATTTTTTTATACACACATTGTGCCATGACTGTTGTATAAACACAGTATCACATGAGTATCAGTGTGATATGGCTATATATCAGCACTGGTGGCGGGCACTAAGGCACTCGGCCTGCGGCCTCAAGCCAATGTACACCTCCCACCAATGCCGATATACAGCCATATCACACTATATATCATATTGCTTATATATATATATATATATATATATATATATATAATGAAATAATTAGTATTTTATATTTACAAACAAAATTAGTTTTTGTTAAAGCTGAAATTATTTTAAACTAAAATGAATAAATGCTTTTGTGTTACTTCATTCATCTCCAACTGTATTGTATTTGTAATTACATTTATTTGTGGCTTTACATTTCCTTATACAACTTACCTTTAAATAGTTTCATAAAGATTAGCATGTGTGGATGATTTTCATCTTCAACATCAGCAACTTTTTAAGAAATGCTTATTCATCAGCATTTAGTGTTTAATTTTGAACTTTTGCCACTGATCTAGCATTGCCGTACCATCACATGCCTAGCCACCATCTCTTATTTGAACAGATGGTCCGGTAGCATACAAAGGAAAAACTCAGTGTACTTTTGGAAAAAAGTTTATTGTGAAATGACTGTGTGAAAATTGGGATGGGGGAATATTGGCAGCCTGGCCACAGTAACGTCATGTGCCTTTAACACACAGCTAAGAGGTGCTGTCGAAACCCTGGACGGGCGGAGAAAAAGGAAAGCAACCCTCACTTCATGAGTGGCCTTTTCCTTCTTCCCCGGTCTCCATCCCACTGTGGACAGACGCCACCGGTCGGAACAAGAAGGCGAGGTGGGTTGACTGCATGAGGACGATGTGACTTCCAAAACGATGGGTGAGTGAGGAAAAAAAAAAAAAAAGAACAGAATGGTTTAGAAGTGACATCCCATAGTCCTTTTTAGTGATTGGTCTTCAAAACAAAATGGATGTCCTGACACCGTGGGGTCTGCAGATGTAATTCAGCCTTCTTCACCACTCCCTAGACGGATGACTTCTTACACGGACATGATGTTCTTGACGAAAGCTGTAAGAGGAGGAGCAGAAGTGCATAAGGAAATATCATCCCTACTGGCTCGCCATACAAGGCCAGAGGTGGCCTCTAAAAATAGCCATCGTAACGAGTCTGTGACAGGTGAGCTTATTATATCATGTCAATTAGTGCCAGAGATACTGTCAGTACTGTAGCCATTATGCAATGTGTGTTAAAACAAGTTATGATGGGTTTAATCTGCGCGACTTTAACCTGACACGTACCCTCATAGTGGACCATGCCGTTCTCATCCTCCTGTCCCTGCATGAGAGCGTCAATCTCTGGCTCGCTCATCTTCTCACCTGTGGATGCCGTGAAAATTGTAGTTAGGACAAATCTGACATAAAAATGTGCTATGAACATCGCAATGCCAGATGACTTTAGATTTACAAAGATATTTGGTTCTTAATCATATTTATATTATTCATAAGGATAATCAGTCATTTATTCATTTTGAATTAATAATATAAATGCAGATATCTATAAATAATACATATAAAAAAAGACACTTGAAAATAAAGTTGAGAACTTGAAAATGGAAGCCGTAAGTAATTTTTGAGGTCAGTGAGGTCTGTTTTTTTAACAGTGACAATATAAAAAAGGCTGAAGACTGGAAGATTGGCTGCTGAAAAATATGCAGTGGAATAACATAATGATAATGATGTCTTAAAATATATTAAAATAGAAATCAGTCTTTATAATTTAGAATAATATCAAATCTTTTCCTTTCATTTTGGATCAAATATACAACAGTCAGAACTGGAAATGCTTGACCAATAAAAAATAAAAACTACTACAACTTCAAGCTTCTGAATAGTAGCACATATTTTAAAAATATATGTGTGTGTTTAACATGTACATGCGGTTATTTAACAGAATTAAACTGCAGACAGTTTTACTTTTTACTTCACTAGAAAACAATTTTTAATATCTTTTTATTATATCACAATTAGGGACGGGACGATAAACGTTTTCAAGGTTTACAGTGGTTTGAAAAGTCAAGGTTTTAAAACTGTTATACCATTCCTACGATATATGTAAGCTTTTTTATTATTTACTTAGTTTTTTTTACAACAATTTTATTTAGTTTTTTAGGGCAACAATATCTCCAGCTAAAAACAGGACCATCGACATCAAAAGCTACCGTTCCAAAAATATTTTAAATGTTTCTTAAAATACAATATATTGTGTTCAATGGCGAAAATGTTGTTCTTTTTTTACCCAAATATTTAAAAACAACATATTTTAAAGCAGTAATTACAATACCATGACAACGCGAAACTGTTTTACTTTTATCCAAGGTTATCATACCGTCAGAATCTTATACCACAATCACAATCCATTACTTTCTATGCAAGGAGAGGAACAAATCAACAAAATTACAATATTATTAATTCCTATTAATTTTCATTATAATCTACATATTTAGTGAGATATTACGTCAAATTGAAATTAAAGCTACATATATAGCGTATTGGAGCGACAGTTGGCATTTCTATGTAGAGTTTGCATGTTCTCTCTTGTTGGTGTGGGTTTCCTCCGGGTGCTCCGGTTTCCCAGACAGTCCCAAGACATGCACTATAGGTAGGCCCACATGAAATCTGCGCGCACAGATTTTCAGCCAATCGTTAAGTCCATTTATTTAGTTGTGTATGAATGTGTGTAAATTCATATATATCCAGTTTTTTAATTATTTCAGAAATATTATTGACTAATATGAAATATAATATGATTTACTAACAATATAGTTTGTAAAATAATAATTTCTGTCTTTTAGTAGATAAATGGTAGATATATTATATGAGAGACTTGCTTTGTTTACCAAATAAATGGATCTAATAGGATTTGCATTGTAAATATAAAAGTTAAAAATGTATAATTTATTTTTTTTATTTAACATAATAAGTTTTTAGTTATGATACACCCAAAATAATTCGACATAAATCCGCAGATTTTTTATGTTCTGAGCAGAAATAGCAAAAAATGTCCACAGATTCTGTCTGGCCCTAGCTATAGGTGAATTGGCAAAGCTAAATTGTCCAGAGTGTATGTGTGTATGTCCTGGTCCTCCAGGTTGGCAGTTGAGCGTTGTACTAACATAACCTCGTAAAAACCAGATGTTAAGCAACACCAACATGGTGCGGCTAAATATCAACTTTAATACAAATAACCCTGGGAGTAAGTAAGTATATAGCGCATTGAGCCAGTTTTATCAGTTTATTATGGAACAACAAACCACTAGATCAGGGGTCACCAATCTCGGTCCTGGAGGGCCGGTGTCCCTGCTGGGTTTAGATCCAACTTGCCTCAACACACCTGCCTGGATGTTTCAAGTATACCTAGTAAGATCTTGATTAGCTTGTTCAGGTGTGTTTGATTAGGGTTGGAGCTAAAATCTGCAGGACACCAGCCCTCTAGGAACAAGTTTGGTGACCACTGCACTAGATGGTGGGAATGACCAATCAGATCCAATAGATGTACAAGTCATTTTCTTTTACACCCATGATATATAAACTAAACTGTAATTTGAGCTTTTCCAGGGTTTCTACAGGGTTATTCAAGTCAAGTTTGAGACTTTTAAAAACCACTATGAATGAAATTTCAGACTTACACAAGGCTAAATGCTAAGGATTCTTTCTTATGGCCCAATTAAAATATAAAAAAACCCATTAAAAACAAATGTTATTGTAAGAAAGATAATGAAACCATATTGGTAAATCGAGTTAATAAATAAACTTTATTAAAACTTTTGAGAAGGAAGGTTAGTGATTCGATAGGTGTTAGCCTGATTGGGTAGCTTTACAACAACATAAGAAAATTAAGACTTGTTAAATGCATCACAATATCTCAGTGAATTTAAGACTTTTTAAAGCTTAAAATTTAAGACATTTTAAGACTTTTTGAGACACCGCAGACACTCTGATTACTCACCCAGTGTTGACAGCACAATGCGCAGCTCAGCGCCCATCACTGTGCCGTTGCCCTCTTTGTCGAAGACGCGCAGACCCTCAACGTAGTCATCATAGGTACCTTTCTGGTTGGCGTCAACAGTCTTGAGCATTGGCAGGAAAGCCTCAAAGTCAATTCTTTTGTTGGCCATGTCTGTGCACAAGCAGCAGTCAAATAAGTGTCAGCTAAAAGAGCTTATAAATGATGTTCATTGGTTTTTAATATGAAGCAATGGTCTTACCGTCAGCAGATGGGTCACCCAGGATTTTCTTCACATCCTTGTTGGTGGGGTTCTGACCCAGGGCACGCATGATATCGGCAACCTGGTTGTAGGCAACCTTGCTGTCACCAACTCTGTCAAAGAGACCAAAGGCCTCTTTGAAGTCTGAAAAAAGCATGGATGAGACTTTAGTAGGGTGGATCGGTACAAAACAGGAGTAATCATGCACAAAGCAGCAGGTGTTGGTAGTTACAATATACAGTGCTCAGCATAGATGAGTACACCCCTCACAAATCTCTCATTTAAATTCATATTTTCTATAGGATGCTTTATATTTGTGCATATACATTAGTTTAGTCAGTACTGAAGCCAAATCTGGAGCTAATCTAACAAAATAACTTACAACAATGGTTCAAAAATTAGTAGCCAAAATGTATATGCTATAGAAAAATATTAAATAACATTTTCAAAACTAGTAAAATTTAAGAGAAACAAAAATATATACAATTATGTTCAAATGTTGTAGTTTGTCTTTTTTTTTTTTTTTTTGCAATATTTTGCTTGAATTTAATTGTATTATTTTTCCATCTCTAAATATGTTTGGTGACTAAAATGTTATTTTAAAAAATATATATTTTTAATAAATCTGTTTTGTTCAACTGCACCAAAATATATGACCTATATTCACAAGAAATGGATACAAATATACATTTTCAAAATAGGGTGTACCATATGCTGAGCACTGTATCTCATAAAATGGCTTCAGACCAAAAATGTTTGCTATCAAGGGCCCTAAAGGACGTGTTAATAAAGTAATTAGCATAATATAAAAAATAAGAACTATATATTTTATTATTAATATATTATTTATTAATATATAAATATATTATATTTACTATAATATAAACAAATAAAAATGTTATTGAATATTTAACATTATTATACAAATCATGCTTAATATAAAAAATTGCTAAATAAAAAACAATAATAATAATGAAAGAAATAAATCATCCAAAAATACGAAAATCCAAAATATCCCAAATAAAAAATACAAATTAGATTAAAATTATTCAATAATGATTTAAATAAGTAAATTGTAATAAGCAGAAAAAAAATGTGTAATGATATAACTTAGAAACCAAATATTTTCTAAATAATACTTTAGACATTTATAATATAAAAACATACCTATATACATGGCTAAATATGTTTTTTAAATATATATTTATATATTCTTTTCACAAAGTAAATTGGGTTTATTTGCAAGAAACTGTATAGTTGCCTTTTGCCCTTTACATTTTATGATGGGTGATCATTGCATGGTGCTGGTGATCATATTTGGTAGCTGCATTTGTATTATTGTACAATCCAAATTTATTATTATTATTATTAAAAAATTAAATATATATTTTTACAACAGTCCAAGGACAACATCTCTATAAAACAAACAAGCTCAATAAAGCATGTCCTGTATGTAAGTGCCTTCCCCTTTCCATCCTTTGCCAATTGTACAGTAAAGCAGCCTAGGAGGAAGGAGGCAAAATTAAAAACAGCTTAGCAACCGCATTTCCTTGGCCTGTGAGCGACACCAAGTTGAAAGTGATCTGCTGAAAGAAAAATAGCATCCTACGACTTCTGTTTCCAGCAGCTGTGCCTCGCCGTTGCTCAAAGGTGGCTCTTAATGCGTGCCGTGACAGGCGATACCCTCAGAGAAAGTAGCCCTCGCCATACATGGTTACGCACTCTTCGATCGACCCAAGTCAAATTCAAGAATGCTGACAGCAACGTAACCTACACCCACAAACGACTGCATACTTTCTGCACCTAAAGGAGCAACACCATGCTGTGAACTGCTCCAAGGGTCTGCAACCCATCAATTCTTTCTATAGGGAAGTAAATGTGGGCTTTGGATTAGACATACAGTAGTCAACATTTGAAGTGGGTCATCACTTTCCATTAAAATTGCCTTAAAACCATTAAACAAACTCATATATTTTTTAATCCACTTCAAATGTTGACTACTGTATTTTGCTATTTGAAATAATTCCCTCTTTTTTTAGACTAAACTATTGGATTGTACTCCATTTATAAGTACTCCACTGATCCTGTTTTGCTTAAATTAATCAGGTTTTGCTATGGTACAAATCAAATCAGAGCATAGATTCCCTCCAGTGTTATTAAAATTTTAATAAATTTTCCTAGAATAGTTAGCACTGTGCTCTAAATCTTTTTCAAATTATGAATACAATTTGTTATATAAATAAATAATTTGTATATAAATAACGATCTCCAAAATAATAGTAAGGTTTTAATTGCTTTTAAAGATTACTGATAGATTATATTATCTAACACATTTATTTTTTTAATATTGATTTTTTACCAACCTGTTATTCAGATGTTTATATTTATGTATTCATATCTTTGAGAGCTTCCTAAATTATTATTTTGGTGTTATACATTTTCAACAAATCTATTACATTTGTAACAGAAGTTTCGGTGAATTATAGTCAGTACCGAATAGTAACTGTTAACATGTAATCCGAAGTATGTAATGAGAGTCCAAAAAATGACTTGCTTGTAAAATTGATTTTAAAATAGTCAGAAAACGGTTACTTTTTTATCAATTACATGAGAAATGCCACATCTTTATTATATCCAGCGATGTTTACTAGCTATAAATAAAAACTTTAAAAACTTTACAACATATTTTTACATTTACTGTATTATCTTTGTTCCTGTAATTCAATATTTAATCTGCCATTCATTAATTAGGTAAAAAGTAATCTAAAAAGTAATCTAATACTCAGATTAGATTACCTAAAATGTGTAGTTTGACAGATTCCATTAGTTGTGTGATGTGGACTATACTTTTAAATATATTTTACTGCATTATGTTTTTCATGTAATTCAAAATCAATTCCATCTATAAGGGAAAAGTAATCTAAAAGTAATCGAACTGTCCGATTATATATATTGAAATTGTATAGTTTGACAGATTACAATACTAACCCCAAATTTAATTTAGTCACTTGGACTACAATTTTAAATGCATTTATTGTATTATGTTTGTTTGAGTATTCAAAATTAAATAAGTCTTAAAGGAATTGGGTAAAAAGTAATTTAAAAACAATCTAGTAGTCCAATTACATGACTAAAAACGTGTAGTTTGACAGATTACATTACTAACCCCAAATTTCATTTAGTTACTTGGACTACTATTTTAAATAGATTTACGTTTGATTTATGTTTGTTCACGTAATTCAAAATAAAACTAGTCATAAACGAAGGCTAAAATTAATCTAAAAGTAATCTAACTGTACAATTATATTACTGAAAACTATAATTTGACAGATTATAATACTAACCCTTAATTTCATTTCGTCACTTGGACTACAATTTAAAATACATTTACTGTATTATGTTTGTTTGCGTTAATAAAAATCCAACCTGTCATAAACTAATTAGGTAAAAAGTAATCTAGTTGTCCAATTACATGACCATAAACATGTAGTTTGACAGATTACATTACTAACCCCAAATTTCATTTAGTCACTTAGACTACAATTTTAAATAGATTAACGTATGATTTATGTTTGTTCACGTAAATCAAAATAAAATCAGTTATAAATTAATTGGTAAAAAGTAGATCTAGTAGTCCGATTACGTGACAGAATATATGCAGTTTGACAGAGTACATTACACATAAATCAAAATCAAATCTGTCAAAAGTAATCTAAAAGTAAAGTATCTGGTAAAAACTAATCTAAAAGTAAGCTAGTAGTCCCATTACATGACTGTAGTTGGACAGATTACTTTACTGACTACAACTAACTGTTTGTAACTCATTTGGACTACAATTACTCAGTAATTACCCAGCAGTGATTATGATTATGAATATAAAATCATTTTTTTTTCTGTCATAATAAAGTCCAACATGCGAAAACTCACCCTCAATCTGGTCAGCAGTGAATTCTCCAGCCTGCCAGAAAGACAACAGTAAATCAGTCCCACTTAAACACACTCGTCTGACATTATTTAACATTTGGAAAACCCAAGCTCTCTTTGGACATCAGCAAAACTGTGCACACATAGATCCACCAGGGGATGATATTTATATATATATTTTTTTTAATCTGAGCTCTTATATTAATCCAAAGTGAATATGCAAACTGATGAAGGCGTCCTACTTCATTTCAGCGGGCTTAGTGCCAGTTTTTCTTTTTTTTTTCTTTTTCTGAGCCAGATGAACATGAAAAAGGTACGAAAGGATAGCAAAAGCGTAATCCAAGTACACACCATGATGTAGTTTTGGGGCGCAGGAGCGGAGGGGCAGAAGTCAAGAAGCCGGAGTCCCAGGAGAGTGGTCCTGAAACATGGAGCAGCCCCTTCTTATTTATGCTATGCTAATGATGTCACGGGGGCGGAGCCTGTGATGCGCAAAGCTTCTTTAACTTTCTTAGGTCAAGCTGGAAGGAAGGCTGCCGCTTTCTCCAGTGTACGTGGTATTTTTAGATTTTGTGCTCCAGGGCTGCTTTTAAGACTTCTTGGCTGCGGTCAGCATTTTAGTTTTTTGCGTTGTCTTTGTTTTCAGGGTTTCTGTGTATTTATTTCATCCTTAGCCATGATTGTATGTAAATTATGAAGTCACCTGTTATGGGCTCTGTGTGTGTATTGAAGGAAGCAGCGGCTCAAGGAAGGCTTTTGATTACAGTGTTGATATTTTTAACTTGCATATGGTGGTCTCCGCCACTTATGGTTATACGGGAAGACTGAGGAAAAACAGTCCTCAGGACATGTTTGCACAGCAATAAATCAATTTGCATTTTAGACACTTTGGAAGATTTTTATTGATTAAAAAAATAGGTGTAAAACACAATTTTTACTCAGAAATTGCAATTATATTTTACAAATAATTGCGCTGAAAGGAATGCATCGAATTTGTAAACTAAAATGTACTACAAAGATCTGTATAATTAAACATTTTTCCTCTATAACAAAAAAATGATCATAATGTAAGCAGATACTTTGTTATGTAATAATGAGAGTGGCAATTTAACACATTTAAAAGGTAAACTATGTTCAGAATGGTACTTCTGAATCACACACACTGAAAATAATCACAAATAAAAGTAAGATTGCAGTAATTTCACCTTTAACTCAAAATTACGTATCGTTTTTTTTATAAGCTGTCAAATCAATAAAGTGGAGATATAACCTGAACACTACATAAATGTCAAAGATTAGTGGCTCATGTTCATATTTCTACTATTATTTTATTATTATTTGTATTCATATTGTTCGATGCTGTGCAGACAGGACGGTAGAGATATGACAAGAAAGCTGGGGTAGAAGGAGAGAGGACCACGAGGCGGGAATCGAACCCAGGTAGTCATGAATGCGGTTGCGCAATGTGTTTAGACACGAGACTAACTGACAAGCTCATGTTCATAGTTAATGTAATGTGATGATGTTACCTCTGCTACTCGTTTAGGATGCCTGTCCTGTAGCACAGATTCACTAAACTGTATTGACACCAGCTGATTAACTATGCTAACCCTTGTTTATTGGTTGTCTTGATCTGGATCAAAAAAGACCAAATCTAAATATGTACAGCTGAAGTCAGAATTATCAGTCCTCCTGAATTATTAGCCCGTTGTATATTTTCCCTAATTTCTGTTTAACGAAAGAAGATTTTTCCAACAGATTTCTAAACAAAATAGTTTTAATAACTCATTTCTAATAACTGATTTGTTTATCGTTGCTATGACAGTACTTTTCAAAGATACTAGTATTCAGCTTAAAGAGCAATTTAAAGGCTTAACTAGGTTATTTGGGCAAGTTAGGGTAATTAAGCAGGTCAATGTATAATGTAGACAATCAAAAAAAAAAAAAAAAAGCTTATTGGTTAAAGGGGCTAATAATATTGACCTTAAAATGGCTTTTCAAAAAAAAAAAAAATTCTAGCTGAAATAAAACAAATAAGACTTTCTCCAGAGTAAAAAAAAATATTATAGGCAATACTGTAAAAAACGTCCTTCTCTGTTAAACATAATTTGAGAAATATATGAAAAAGAAACAAGCAATCACAAGAGGGCTAATCATTTTAACTTCAACTGTATAGTTTAAAGACCAGTCTTCATCCTGATTGAAATGGAGAGAGCTGTGCAAACGAAAACCTCCAAGACTCTTCCAGAATATTCTATGAGACTGAGAAGGTTATCCAGACAATGATGACCGAGTAATTTCTGCTAAAAACTGATCAACAGACTGAATCATAAACTGTTTTAAGTGTCACCAATGGCTCTTCCATCATGGCTTTATTTTTGTTAAATAAATAATGAGACTGTGTGGGATGTCATGTGATGTTGTGGTTTTATCTTCCAAATTTAAAGACATACCAAGGACTTTATAGTTTTTCTTTTATTATGTCCTGATACAGAAAACCATGAAATTCAACAGGGTGTCCTACCTTAATCACATGACTGAACTTGAACACAACCAAAATGTCATTGCAAAAAATTGCTTAGAAAAGTAAAGTTGTTCCTGTGACTCATTTAATTGTACTTGCCACTTGAAAACATACTAAGAAAAGTTTGATTTGTCACATTAAGAAATTAAAATTTGGTTGAATAAGCTTAATGTTTTATTACAACGAATGAACTTTTGTTATTTTTTTATTAAAAAGAAAAAAGAAAAAAAAACTCTAAATGACTATTTTTATTCAAAATGTGGAAGAAATGTTTTCAGACCTTCACAGAATTAAAGATTTTTTAAAAATGTCTATTTATTATTATTACTATTTTGTATTATTTGTATGTACTTTGGTTGAGGCAATTTAAATAAATTTTGTTAGTATTATAATTAGTAAATACTGTAAAAGTATTACTTAAAAAGTAAATTATTATATTATTATTAATAATATATTATAAGTACTATAACCATGTAAGCTTCACGACAGAATTATTATTGTGAATTGAAATTAACTGTTATTTATTTCTGTGATGGCAAAGCTGAATCTTAGCATCATTACTCCAGTGTTACACGATCCTTTAGAAATCAAAGCATTTTTTATTATGACTAATGTTAAAAAAAGTTGTGATGCAACATTACAAGTTTGTGCACAAACTGTTTTCAACACACAATTTGATGAATACAAACTTTAAATGCATTTATTTAAATATAAATGAATTTTTACAAAACATTTGTATCATTTTTGGGTGACTTAACACCTACTTTAATTATTAAAATACATATAATATATGAAAACACACTATGAAAAGTATGATTTGTCACATTAAGAGATCAACATTTGGTTGAATAAGCTTTATTTTCCATCACAACAAATTGATTTTGTTTTGTTTTTTTATACAAAAAAAAAAAAAAAGAAATATGACTATGACTAAATGACTATTTTTATTTAAAATGTGGAAGAAATGTTATCAGACCTTTACAGAATAAGACATAAATTTTTTACTTATACTCATACCCAATAAATCCAGTAAATATCTATTTATTATTATGTCATATCTGCACGTGCTTTGATCAAGGATATTTAAATAAAATCTTCAGTGAATACTTTTAATTTCAGCTTACTACTGAAGCTTAAAACAAATAAACAACCAATATTAATTATGTGTTTCAAGTAAAATAACCACGTACGCTTCATGATAGGAACTGAATAGATTTAAAAAACAATACTCAATTAAACATACACAGTAAACAATTATTGCTGCTTTTTTGTAGTTGAATCAAATTAACTTTTGGAGACTACTTAACTTACATAAGTCAAACCGACTAAAAATATGAAGTGGAAACGTAAATAAATTAGCTGAACATGATTAACTTATTAAAAACATCAAAATATTTGATGTCTTGATTTTTTTTTTTTTACAATGTACAGCTTTCAATCATAACATTTCTTAAGGTTTGTTCAGTCGTGATATTGCAGTGTAGTTCCCCCCTGTCCTTCATGCAATTAAATGTGTTACTACAAACTAGCGGAGCAGCCATTGCAAAGACATTCCATTCCTGGCCTGAGACTCTGGACTCTTCGCTCTAAAAGCTGCAGACGCGCCCCATCACAGATGACCTCTATATTTAGCCCCTCTTCCAGGGGGTGTAGAGTTCCTCTGAGCGGGACAGTAGCACCTCAAGGGTGGCTGACACGACTTACACCCCAAACTGCATATCGTAAAGCAGCTACTCAAGTTACGCTGCTGGGCTTCAGTTTCTTAGATGTTTGAGGTTATGCGTATGCAGAGACTGGCCTCAGATCAGTTGGAAGAGGCACTGAGGAGTCCAGAGTTTAAAAAAAGCTGTCGTACGGGCCAAGCATTGTCCATCGGCCCTTGAGAACGTACCAGCCTTATTTGGATTTGCCACAGACACGAGAAGACAAATATTCAGATTCACTCAAAGGAATGATGTTTGTTCAAACTACTTATTTAAAAGGAGCTGAAACAACATCATTCTTGATTTTTATTTTTTTTGGGACAACTTAAGTGATTTATGTTTAATCTACTTAAATTTGAAAAAAATAACAAGTTAACTTTTTATCAAATCTATTGTGCAGAACCCAGCATTTTACAGTGTTGTTTACACAATTAAAGGGATATATAGTCCACCCAAAAATATCGAACTTTCTTCCACTTGTTTTAAACGTGTTTGATTTGCTATCTATCACAAAGGAAAATATTACGAAGTATGCTGGAAACAGGTAGCCATTAGCCATCTTTTCATCCGCCGATTTTTGTGCATATATATACATATATGCGCAATCTTTCGTTTTTAAATTTTTTTTAATAAAATGATGTAGAAAAGTAAGAGAATAATAGAAGGCAAAATAAATATTTTGCTAATAAAATAAGCCTTTTTCTCTAGACAACCAGTTTGGGCCTTAAATTCGGAGAGAAAATTGGCCTCTAAATGATATAGGTTTAGAACCCCTGTATAACACAACTGCCTTGTTTTATATTTCCTTTTACAGAATTGAAAGAAAGTACATGTTCAGTACTTACATTTAGACATTTACATTTAGTCATTTAGCAGACGCTTTTATCCAAAGCGACTTACAAATGAGGACAAGGAAGCAATTTACACAACTATAAGAGCAACAATGAATAAGTGCTATAGGCAAGTTTCAGGTCTGTAAAGTCTAAGAAGGAAAGCATTAGTATTTTATTTTTTATTTATTATTATTTATTTTTTTTAGTACAGTTAGTGGTATATCCAGAGAGGCAATTGCAGATTAGGAAGTGAAGTGGAGACTAAACAGTTGAGTTTTTAGTCGTTTCTTGAAAACAGCGAGCGACTCTGCCGTTCTGATGATAGTCAGAAGTCTATCTTCAAAGATAGTTCACCCAAAACTGAAATGTCTGTCATTTACTCTCCCTTCACTTATAACAAACCTGTTTGAGTTTCTTTCTTTTCTGATGAACACAAAAGTCGATTTTGAATCGGGTAACCAATGACTTCCACAGTATTTGTTTTTCCTACTAGTCAATATTCAATTGTAGAGTTCTATAGCTCCACCTAGTGGAAAAACAAATGTTTGTGCAAGTCACTTCCAGAAGACAGTTCACTCTATATTACTCACCCTCAGGCCATTCAAGAGGTGGGTGACTAGAACATACAAGGTTTTTAGCTGAACCCGCGGTCCTTGGCGATTCATATAATGCAAGTCAATGTCTACCAGCACTACGAGAGTCAAAAACACATACAGACAAAATCAAATTAATTCCAGCCGCTCCTGATCCTGATGACACAAAACTGAACATTATTAATAACATTATTACCTTTAATCCACGTCCTGAGCGATATCATGACAGTCTGGAGCACAAGATTCCTGTCGCATAATCATGTACAGTTGAAGTCAGAATTATTACCCCTCTTATTAAATTTAAATTCTTTTATATTTTTTTACCAACCTCTGATTAACGAAGAGAAGATTTTCAGCACATTTCTAAATATAATAGTTTTAATAATTAATTTCTAATAACTGATTTCTTTTATCTTTGCCATGATGACAGAACATAACATTTTACTAGATTATAGTATTCAGATGAACGTGACATTTAAATGCTTAACTAGGTTAATTAGGCAAGTCAGGGTAATAAGATAGTTATTGTATAACGATGGTTTGTTCTGTAGACTATCAATAACATAACATTTGCTTAAAGAGGCTAATAATATTGACCTTAAAATGTTTTTTAAAAAAAATCAAAACTGCTTTTATTCTAGCCAAAATAAAACAAATAAGACTTTCTCCAGAAGAATAAATATTATAGGAAATACTGTGAATATTTCCTTAATCATTGAAATATCACTTGAAAAATACTTTAAAAATAATACATTTTACACAGGAGGGCTGATCTCCACAACTGTCAGTGCAGATAAAAACTCTGAAGTGTTATTTATTCTTTTTTTTTTTGCGTCAACTATGCCTTTAATGTGATATTTAGGGTTTCTACAACTTTACACAAGACTAAACGCTAAGGATTTTTTCCATTGGTTATAACATTAAAAACATTAAAAAGAACTGTCATTGTAAGAAGAATAATCTTTAGTTAAAACTTATATTGAGATGGAATGTCAGCGATTAGACGGATGTCTAAGCTTTACATCAGAGGTGTCCACACTCGGTCCTGGATGGCCAGTGTCCTGGAGAGTTTAGCTCCAATCCTAATCAAACACACCTGAACAAGCTAATCAAGATCTTTCTAGGTATACTTGAAACTTCCAGGCAGGTGTGTTGAAACAAGTTAGAGCTAAAGTCAGCAGGACACCGGCCCTCTAGGAACGACTTTGGACACCCCTTCTTTACAAGGATATAGGAAAATTAAAACCTCTTAAAATGATTTAAGACCTACAAGACAATATTTCAGCAAACTCACGACTTTATAAGGTCTAAAATTTAGTTTTTTAAATCTACAAGTATTTAAAACCCCGCGGACACCCAGGAATTTAATGTAAACAGAACAGTTACCAGATAACATATACTGTTTTGTTATTTTTATTGCTGTGCAGATGAAAATGTACAAATTATACTGTAAAAGGCAAATGCTAACATATTTTACTACCATCTTTTAAAAAACAAACAATTTTGCAGCACATCCTCTGATACCACTATTAGTATTATCAAAATAAACTCATTTTAATACAGAAAGCAAAGCATTAATCCTACTCAAAGCATATGAATGCAATTATTAGTTTCAAAACGCAGTTACACTTTTTTTTGTCATATCACAATATTCTAAACCTAAAAAAAATCCTATCCTAACAGATACATCAAAATAATAAATGTTCAATGAGTCTTAGTAATATATAATACCAAACACATGTTCAAGAACATCAACAAATGTACAACAAAAATCAGTGCAATCTGTTAAACATATTAAACATTTATTTTAAAAGCTTAAAGGGATAGTTCACCCAAAAATGAACATGTTGTTGTAAACCTTTATGAGTTTCTTTCTTCTGCTCAACACAAAAGAAGATATTTTGAAGAATGTTGATTGTCGGCACTCAAAAAATCTTATGGAAGTCAATGGGTGGCAGCGACCAGCATTTTCTTAGGATATCATCTTTTAAGTTAACCAGAAGAAAACAACTCAAAAAGGTATTGAACCAAGTGAGTTAATGTCAGAATTGTTATTTTTGTGTCAACTATCCCTTTAACTTTATAGTTTCAAATTAACCCTCATCTATATAGTCAAGAACCCATCCACCTTCTTCTAATGGGGGGAGAAAAAAAAGCACTGTTCTCCACATATACACACCTCTCGTAAGATTTAGCATGAATTGAGACAGGGCCGAGGCATGCAGACGCACATGCAGAGCGAGACAGTACTAATCCACCATCAGAGGACACTCCATCCAGCTTGGAGAAGCTTAGGCTAAACTCTGCATACATCCTCGAACAACCTGCAATATGACAAACTGAAGTTAACAACAGCTTTTATTGTGTATTAATGTCTGGAGAGTGGCGGAAAAAGCAATGCAGTTACCTTTACACCTCAAAACAGGGGAACTTGGCTCTAGCTGGTTGCAGAAGGTCAGCCAGGAAATAAATTGTCCCCGCCATCCCTTCAGAACAAACATACAGTAAATGATGCTTTCAGATGGTCAAACCTGATATTTTCATTTATTAATTTATTTTGAAGCATTTATTTTTTTTATTCTTAAGACGATAATTGGGCCAAATAAACAATATTTTCATTTGTCGTGACTGAATATCAGGCTTATTCCATCAAATATTGACTTTTTTAACCATCCTGAGCTTTCCTGTTCTCTAAAATGAATATTAACTGAAGTTGTTTTTGTAATTTTTTATTATTAAACAATTATTTATTATTAACTAGGTTCCTTATTCCTCTTCCAAACTCAAACTTAAGCACTTTTAAAGCTCTTTCAGAACAATAACATGATAAACAACGATGCTTTTAAAAACCAATGTATTAATAGTCAAACCTGTTATTTACAGTATTTTTATGTTCGTCAGACATTTATTGGTTAAAATAACAAATGTTTTCATTTGTCGTGACTGAATAGCAGGCTGAAGCCATCAAATATTGACTTTTTTTACCGTTCATGTTGTCTAAAAATGAATATAAACTGAAATAGGTTTATATTTAAATTCATTACTAATTATTTATTGTTGAATGGGGTTGTTGCACCTTTTCAAATTTAAGCACTTGTCAAGCTCTTTCCAGGTGAAACTTCAAATTATTCAAGCCTTTTACAAATGTGGCAAATTACACATTTACATACATATACATACTTTATCACATTATATCACATATTACTATTTGCTATAGTATAGTAAAACATTTTTGATGGCATGTTTGTCCCTAATTCCTCACTGAATTACTGTCATTTACTCTCTTATATGTAATTTCCTCACATCTTAAATGTCTATTTAATGTATCTTTTATCTTAAATTTGTTTATTTTCTTTTCGGCTTAGTCCCTTTCATTACGCAGGGGTCGCCACAGCGGAATAAACCACCAACTTATCTAGCATATGTTTTATGCAGCGCATGCCCTTCCAGTCGCAACCCATCAATGGGAAACACTCATACACTCCCATTCACACATACACACTACGGACAATTTAGCTTACACATTTCACCTATAGTGCATGTCTTTGGACTTGTGGGGAAAAACGGAGCGCCCGGAGGAAACCCACGCCAATTTCAAAGGGTGAAGATAAAAAAAAGACTACAGAGTTTCTATTTTATGTATTATTATTATTACCTATTTAAGAAGATAACTTATGTTATATAAATCAAATTTTTAGGCACTTTATCTAAAATCTAAGCACTTTTCAAATCATGAAAACACTAGACTAAAATTCAAGCAGTTTTTAAGGTTTTCAGCACCTTTCTTATCTGTTAGCTACTAGTTCTTATTCATTAAAGTACTTATTCATTAGATACTAGTTCTTATTTGTTAGACAGTAGTTCTTATTTGTTAGATACTAGCTCTTTTTCATTAGATACTAGTACTTATTCATTAAATACTAGTTCTTATTTGTTGGATACTAGACCTTAAAAGTTTGATACTAGCACTAATTCCTTATATACTAATTATTATCCATTAGATAATAGTTCTAATTCTTTAGATACTAGTTCTTATTCATTAGATACTAGTTTTTACTCGTTAGATACTAGTTCTTATTCATTAGATACTAGTTCTTATTCATTAGATATTAGTTCTTATTCGTTAGGTAATAGTTCTTATTCATTAGATACTAGTTCTTACTCGTTAGATACTAGTTCTTATTTAATAGATACTAGTTCTTATTTGTTGGATACTAGACCTTAAAAGTTTGATACTAGCACTAATTCCTTATAAACTAATTATTATCCATTAGATAATAGTTCTAATTCATTAGATACTAGTTCTTATTCATTAGATGCTAGTTCTTATTCGTTAGATACTAGTTCTTAATCACTGGATACTAGTTCTTATTCATAAGATATTAGTTCTTATTCGTTAGGTACTAGTTCTTATTCATTAGATATTAGTTCTTACTCGTTAGATACAAGTTCTTATTTAATAGATACTAGTTCTTATTCGTTGGATACTAGACCTTAAAAGTTTGATACTAGCACTAATTCCTTATATACTAATTATTATCCATTAGATAATAGTTCTAATTCTTTAGATACTAGTTCTTATTCATTAGATACTAGTTTTTACTCGTTAGATACTAGTTCTTATTCATTAGATACTAGTTCTTATTCATTAGATATTAGTTCTTATTCGTTAGGTAATAGTTCTGTAAGCTGAGAAAATATTATATATTTTTCCTTCTATGCTAATGAAGGACTACTGAGACATTCCAAGCATGGGATGGGTCCTCCTGGTGAGGCAGAGTTCCTCACAGCTCCGATACACATCTCTGCCATTTGCTTACAGCAACCATGTGCTCTTCACCATACACAATTCATCTGCTTGTGTTCTTCTTTCAGATAACTTTGTCATGTTTGGTGTTATTTGACAGTTTATGACTTCAGTGTTGTAGTGATGAAATCAACAGAGACATTGATTAATTGTGTTTCAATCTACAATATATTTACTATTGTTGGGTCATGGCCTGAGGAGAGTATGTTAATGTACTTCTCCCCCACTTCATCTCTTCAACTTTGTTCTCATGTTCATCTGGTTTTGGGGGTTGGTTTTCACTCATGTTTGACAATGCTTTGCTCAGGGTATAATAGGGAAAGGTAACTGTTGATCTGGGAGAATGGCTTTTACTCTGCATCTCCCGCACACCAGTGCGTAGCCTCGTATGCTAACAAAGGCAGTTTCACTGTCTTTGTTGCTCAGCAGTGCATACGTTACAGCTAATTTCTTTATACAGTATGTTAGTTTGTGTCATTCTAATGTCTGTATATTTGATCATGTAACTTAATAAACAACTTTGCCTGCTTTAAGACGTAGAGATTCTTTCTCTTTATCAATGATGATAACAACTTTAATGGAGTCAGATTAATTACAATGGAGTCAGATAAATAATGGATTTAAACACGCCATCCTTCAACTGCTTCCTGTTTCCGATTATTGGTTCAGAATAGCAGCGTAAGCTTCAAGCCTTACAATTTGGCGAACCCGACGCGATATAATTTTGGCGAGTTTTAATCGCAAGATACTTTTTGTATCAACATCTTTTTGCTTATCCTGGAAATGGATTATTTTACTCTTGGACACACGATGGTCATCAGAATGAGAACTCTTCTGAGTGGATTAAAGCTGAACTTCTAACCACAGAGTGGGTAAGTCTGTTTTCATTGCTTCATGGCATGGTAGGGAAAGTCTCCATTTGCATGAATTGTGTGAAACAGGAATTAGAAGTATCAGAATAATCTAGATAATCATCTCACTGTGAAATCCAAGTAAATGTCCTCCAATATGGAGTGGAATACTTATAATGAGTATGATCTGTTTACATTATGGACTGAAAATGTTGAGCCTGTACTGTACAAACTCACTAGAAAAGGCCTTGATTTGGACGCTACTAGTGAGGACATTTCCATATGGTGGAAAACAGTGGGCATCAAACAAAAGAAATGTAAACACAAAGAAATCATTGAGGCTTTAAATTACCTGAATGCCTCTAGCATACGCAATAACCTAAAAAAGGTGTTTGCAAATTTAAAGGAGAAAACTGAACAACTGGTCACAGCAGATTCTGAAGCACTAAAGTCTCAGGAAAAAATTGAACATCTCCAATCACAGCTAGACAAACTACTAGAAGATCAATTAGCATTGGCTAAAAGATGTGAGAAATACATGGACATAATTGAAGATTTGAAAAACAAATTGATTGTGCAAAAACTAATGCCTGTCAGAAACACAAAAGCTAACAAGCATATGACTTCAGAATCAGAGAAAGCTGATGACATATCTCTGCAAAAGGTGCCTGTTTCAGCTTTAAAGATTATGAAACACCCAAATGGCACAGAGACAAACATTCAACGTGCTTTAACAGTACATGAATGTAACTCGTTTAAAGCAGAGATTGGACCATTCCCTCTTAAAGGGCCCTTCCAACCATGGTGGAGGCGAGTTGTTAGGCACAAACATGCATTTCAACTCGAACCAAAAGACATTTGGCAAATTGTTTTAACCTCATTTCCAAATGTTCTAATCTATAAGGCCCCACAAGTCTTAATTGAAGGGACAATTTTACAGCCAATACACCCCAATGAGCCTGAGAGTGAGATCTTGAACAGACTAAAACTCTGCCTTTGTGACATGCGTGGTAAAAGCCCTGCTGAATGGGAGTTGATTTACAACCGGAAACAGAATAATGCAGAATCGTTTGAAACATATGCAGAAAATTTGTTTGAACTTTTTGAAGAATATTCTGGCATAGATGATGTTACACGCAACAATCCAATTCTTTTGGGATTACTGGTTGAACATGCAGGGCCCCACATTCAGAAAGCGCTCATGGCTGGTGCTAGTCCTCCAAAAAACACATTTGAAGACATTGTGAACTGGGGAACAAAGGTCGAGTCACGCAGACAAATGCATAGTGAATTAGCAGCATCAGGGTGTCATAAAGATGTTAAAGCTAATAGACACTCTAGCAAAATACCTGGCAAGAAACAAGATCGATTCTGTTGTTCCTGTTTAAAAATGGGCCACACTGAACAAAAGTGTTGGTCTCTGAACAGAGGCAGACCTCCGCCCTATTTCCTGAGACGTAGACAGTCTCAATCTAAGGACACAGAACAACACTCTAGAAGCAGCCAAAATTCAACTTCAAGTAAAACTATTACTGAGTTGACAAATATGGCTATGCAAGGTCTCCAGCTATTAGCGTCATTTGCTAGTGGGCTAACAGCTCAATTGAAATAACCTAATAATATTACACCCTGACTGCACTGATCCTTTTTGCATTTTCAAACCTGTGATTGTGTTAAACATGCAGCCTTCCTCATAAACACACAATAGTTGTTTGTACTACTACATGTATACATAGACTACTAGAATTGTTAAACAATATCTAGTGAACTGTGTTAATGTTGGATTTGATTGTCTCCTTTAAATGGACCGCTCTGCTATTTTCCATATAGCTGCAGCTGAACCATAAAACAGGAGCACAAAACTTGCCACCTGGCTACAGTGTTATTCACAATTGCATTAACATAAAAATGCTTTCCTTCCAGCAGGATTCAGTATCAGTGCACTTGTCCTTTTTACCATGCTCTAATAACAAACCAAGGTGTGGATCTTTGAGCCCGATCACAACCCCATCTTACATTTCAAGGGCTTCCTGTTAAAACAACAGGACCAAATTTGCATCACAATTGTCAATAGCAACTTTTGTTACCTTTGGTCGGAGCATGGTCACACCAACACATTCACACAGTTAAATACAATCACATAAACAACACCATTTGTCTCTCTACATATAGACAACTTAAACTCTTCTTTTTAACTAAAATATTTTCATATTGGAAAGCCCTACATCAGCGATGTGCTTTCCAATAAGGAAAATTTCCATTTACTTTTTGTTCATCTAAACCATTTTGCTTTTTACCTTTTTGAATCTTTTTTATGCTCTCACAGCATTTTTTGTTTTCAATAACTGAATGGACTTTCATGTTATTTCTCCATTTGAGACATTTTAACCTTTTTAGATCACTTTTTATTTTTACAGTTAAGTCATCACCAAGGCAATTTTTTGAAATTTCTGAATTTGATCACATTAATTATATTATACTCTTACTATAAAAGCAAGTCCTGAAATCAACCAAATTTTGATAAAGACGAATATTTTCAGAAACATTAACGGTGTCTTTTATGTTTTTTAGATGATGCTCCTATTATCAGAGAGGGGTTTGAAGTCAACAATGGTTGATTTTTTCAAAGACACGTACATTTTTCCAGAAACATTAAGTCCCATTTTTTGTTTTTACACCATATTCATTTATATTGTTGGTGCTCCTACTATCAGAGAGGGGTTTGGAATCAACATATATTACAATATTTCAATCTTTTCAAAGGTCCCATTTATTTGTCTTGCTTTTCACAACTTTTTTCACTTTTCACTTTTTTCACGTTTTTAATTTGGCCACTTCATAATCAACCAAATTGTTTTTATTTTATTTTTATTTGCTTTCTTTCTAAACACCAGAAAGATTATAATCCCTATCATGTTGTTACTTTCCCTTCATTATATTCTGAGCAAACATTACATTATATGTCATTTATTTTGTCTTCGGACATTGAGTTTTAATTTGAAATGCCATTATATTGATATTTGAACTACTACATGCTTATATTGCCATATAACCTCATATGCCAGTTTTGCAGATATGTTTTTCTTCTCATTGCCATGGTTATTCTTTTGCTGTTCTGTCACCAGTTATACATCGTCAATGAATGCCTCTTTCAGTTTTCATGGGTTGCTCTCCTTTGCAAATCATTTTCTGTGCATGAAGGTAAAGGCAGCTTGAGTGTGGAACACAAACACTGGAGAATTGAAGACGCCCTCCACAAGATATACTAAATCCCACAGATATCAGAGTTTACTTGGCTTCCTAAGCCAGAGACGGACATACATCTTGTGAAATGGACATTAGGATCTAGACAAGACATCCTGACAAGTGTCCCCATGTGATTATCTGACTATGCCTACACCTGACAGGAAAAGGTGTTCTGTGTGTATATCTTCTGAGCGTCATTGACAATGATCATCATCAGTCTGCACTGCTCTGCCAAAGGAGACACTGGATTACTCTTCTCAGCTTTTATTTGAGGTCACATGTGGACCTTTTATAATTTCTGAGGTCCAATGAACCTGAGAGGGGACTGTAAGCTGAGAAAATATTATATATTTTTCCTTCTATGCTAATGAAGGACTACTGAGACATTCCAAGCATGGGATGGGTCCTCCTGGTGAGGCAGAGTTCCTCACAGCTCCGATACACATCTCTGCCATTTGCTTACAGCAACCATGTGCTCTTCACCATACACAATTCATCTGCTTGTGTTCTTCTTTCAGATAACTTTGTCATGTTTGGTGTTATTTGACAGTTTATGACTTCAGTGTTGTAGTGATGAAATCAACAGAGACATTGATTAATTGTGTTTCAATCTACAATATATTTACTATTGTTGGGTCATGGCCTGAGGAGAGTATGTTAATGTACTTCTCCCCCACTTCATCTCTTCAACTTTGTTCTCATGTTCATCTGGTTTTGGGGGTTGGTTTTCACTCATGTTTGACAATGCTTTGCTCAGGGTATAATAGGGAAAGGTAACTGTTGATCTGGGAGAATGGCTTTTACTCTGCATCTCCCGCACACCAGTGCGTAGCCTCGTATGCTAACAAAGGCAGTTTCACTGTCTTTGTTGCTCAGCAGTGCATACGTTACAGCTAATTTCTTTATACAGTATGTTAGTTTGTGTCATTCTAATGTCTGTATATTTGATCATGTAACTTAATAAACAACTTTGCCTGCTTTAAGACGTAGAGATTCTTTCTCTTTATCAATGATGATAACAACTTTAATGGAGTCAGATTAATTACAATGGAGTCAGATAAATAATGGATTTAAACACGCCATCCTTCAACTGCTTCCTGTTTCCGATTATTGGTTCAGAATAGCAGCGTAAGCTTCAAGCCTTACAGTTCTTATTCATTAGATACTAGTTCTTACTCGTTAGATACTAGTTCTTATTTAATAGATACTAGTTCTTATTTGTTGGATACTAGACCTTAAAAGTTTGATACTAGCACTAATTCCTTATAAACTAATTATTATCCATTAGATAATAGTTCTAATTCATTAGATACTAGTTCTTATTCATTAGATGCTAGTTCTTATTCGTTAGATACTAGTTCTTAATCACTGGATACTAGTTCTTATTCATAAGATATTAGTTCTTATTCGTTAGGTACTAGTTCTTATTCATTAGATATTAGTTCTTACTCGTTAGATACAAGTTCTTATTTAATAGATACTAGTTCTTATTCGTTGGATACTAGACCTTAAAAGTTTGATACTAGCACTAATTCCTTATATACTAATTATTATCCATTAGATAATAGTTCTAATTCATTAGATACTAGTTCTTATTCATTAGATGCTAGTTCTTATTCGTTAGATACTAGTTCTTATTCGTTAGATACTAGTTCTTATTCGTTAGATACTGGTTGTTATTCGTTAGATACTAATTCTTATTTGTTAGATACTAGTTCTTATTCACTGTATACTAGTTCTTGAATTTGGATGTTAATATTACATTATTTAATGCTGAAATATAATTAATAAATGCAATAAAAGTATTGTTCATAATTAGTTCATGTTAGTAAATAAATTAACTACTGAAAGCTCATTGTAAAGTGTGACAGATTCTTTTAACAAAAGTAAGAAACATTTTAAAATATATGCAAACAATAATATTTCACAGTAATTCACAGTGTTTGCCATCAAATAAATAAAGCATTGATGAGCATAAAACATTAATCAAATCAAATAAAATCTCACAAACCTCATAATTCTGTAGATATGCAAGTATATTTACTCTACCTTCAAACAGTGAGAACGGTGTATCTGGAGTCCGGCAGCCGTGTCTCCCATAATTCATGCACCAGTCTGCAAACTGCAGATGAGAAGACATCAAATCCCATCATGCCTCTGTTCACACAACAGGCAATGACGGATCCCCTCCTGCCAGCACAGTGATTTATAACATCCTCCATTGGTCACACAGAATATGCATACATTTCCCAGACCTGCTTGCCGTGAGGTGACAGTGCTAACCACTGAGCCACCGTGTCTTCCCCTACAGATATTTTAAATATGTAATTTTGTGGTAGGACTCACCATGCAGGCTCTGTAGAGGTGTTTGGGATCCTGCGTGATCTTGTAAAGGGCCAGGAAGCCGTAAGCGTTTCCAGCAGCTCCATGGCAGAGTCCATAACCCTTCTTTAGCAAACCCCTCTGCCAGATCACCTCACCACACTGCAAAGCGTCCTCCAAATACTGCCGCACGCCAAACACCTGCGCAAACGACAGCTTTAGACTCTACTCTCATCTATCTATCTATCTATCTATCTATCTATCTATCTATCTATCTATCTATCTATCTATCTATCTATCTATCTATCTATCTATCTATCTATCTATCTATCTATCTATCTATCTATCTATCTATCTATCTATCTATCAGTACATATTTAAAAGTTACTAGTTCTTATTCATTAGATACTAGCTCTTATTCGTTAGATACTAGTATTTTTTCATTAGATACTAGCTCTTATTCATTAGATACTAGCACTTATTCATTAGATACCAGTTCTTATTCATTAGACACTACTTCTTATTCATTATATACTAGTTCTTAATTACTAGATTCTAGTTTTTATTACAGGCCCATAGCCAGAGGGTGTTCGGGTGGCTCGAATGAATAACCCCCCAGGGCCAAAAGGTCCAGAATTTGTCCTTTTAATTGAATATTATACAATTTATTTATTATTTAATTAATCTAATATATTTATATTTAATATAAATTGCAATAAAGTGCAATTTTAAATAACTCTGGCCAGTAATTCGAATTCCCATGGAGCCTCAAAGCCACAATAATGTGACGCGAGTCACGTGATATAACCCACTGAGTGGCATTTGAATCTTTGATGCAACATCCACCCCTCACTGACCAGTTTGTTTTTGTCTATAAATGACAGTAGGCTATAGTTTTTTTTTTTACTTCAAAACTTTAACAGATTCCTATTTGTACCTACTGATAAATGATGTGATAAATTTGTATTTTAAAAATTAGTCTTGTTTTAATTTTTAGAAATATTTTTAGTACATCAAAAAGTGTGGTTATGATGACATCTGACTAGCTAATCCAGCAAAAAAAAAAAAAATAAAATAAGAAAAACTGCTTAAAATGTCACTAAAATGCAGTATTTAAATAGTTAAATAGAAACTGAGGCATGTAACTGCAAAAATGTCCACTTTTTGAAGAAAAAAAACAACACCACCCCTTTCACCCGGCTGGCTACGGGCCTGTATTGGATACTAGTTCTTATTCTTTAGATTTTAGTTCTTATTCATTTGATTCTAGTTCTTATTTGTTAGATACTAGTTCTTATTCGTTAGATACTAGTTCTTATTCATTAGATACTAGTTCTTATCTGTTATATACTGGTTATTATTCATTAGATACTAGTATTAATTCATTAGATTCTAGTTCTTATTTATCAGATACTAGTTCTTATTCATTCATCTAATGAATAACATTTATGAAAAATTACCTGAGTATAAGAGATGTCTTAATTTAATTATTGTAATATACAGAGTGAAATTTGTACCTTGAAAGCCTGAATTAACATGTATATAACTCCAGGAGAGCCGTGACACCAGTGCACCAGAAGATCTCGAGCGTCTCCGACACACGGTGCATAATTTCCTGATGGAAACTTCAGCTGACACACATAATTGACGCTGGGTTTGACCAGACTGAAAACCCTGTCCTGACCAGCAACAAGACCAGGCTATAAGAGACAAAATCAGTTTAATGTTCATTTACTGTTCATTTCAGTCAATAAAACAAGAGTGAATATATGGCAAGCTAATAAAACATTTAATATTTATTTTAATGCAACTAGTTCTTATTTACAAGCTACTGTAGCTTTATACAGTTCTTTTTCATTAGATACCAATACTTACTCATTATATACCAGTTCCTATTCATTAGATAATAGTTCGTATTCATTAGATACTAGTTCTTTTTCATTATAAATTAGTTCTTATTCATTACTAGTTTCTATTCATTAGATACTAGTTCCAAATCATTAGATAGTAGTTCTTAATCATTAGATACTAGTTCTTATTCATTAGATACTATTTGGTATTCATTAGTTCTTTTTCATTAGATACTAGTTCTTATTCATTACATGCTAGTTCTTAATCATTAGATACAAGCTCTTATTCATTAGATACTAGTTCTTATTCTTAAGATACTAGTTCCTCATTCATGTCAAGGTGAAAATACATATAAGTTTAGATTAAATGTTCAAACTGTTTCCATAGTGAGTGTGCTGACCTGCATCAGGTAATAGTAGATCCCTGACAGACCGTGAGCAGCGCCCACATACTCCTCTTGATACCACTCATACATCAGAGGGCTTTGGTCCTGGATCTTGTTCCTCTGAGAAAGAATCTGTCCCGACTCCAGTATAGCATCACAGATCTGAAATAAACACACTTGCATGTTTAGTAAAAACAAAGTGCTGAATCAAAGGCAACGCATAAACATCTTTATATTTAACATAGTTCTGTTTAAGCATTCTTAATATCTTATGGGCTAACTATTGGGGTTTGCAACCTGCCTTATATTTAGAGCACTACTGTGAATTTATTTTTTAAATATTTCCCAAATAATGTTAAACAGAGCAAGGAATTTTTCAAAGTATTTCCTATAATATCTTTTTCTTCTGGAGAAAGTCCTATTTGTTTTATTTTAGCAAGATTAAAAGAAGCTTTTAATTGTTTTATATCTATTTTAATGTCAATATTATTGGCTTCCTTAGCAATATTTTCCAATTGTCTACAGAACAAACCACTGATATACAACGATTTGCCTAATTACCCTAATGTGCCTAGTTGACCCTTTAAATTGCGCTTTAAGCTAGTACTAATATATCTAGTAGAATATTAAGTACTGTCATCATGGCAAAAATAAAAAGAAATCAGATATTAGACATTAGTTATTAAAACTATTATGTTCAGAAATGTGTTAAACAGAAATTTGGGAAGTTTTTTTTTTTATCACACACAGCTCATGAAATGGTTCAGGTCTAAGTTGGTTAGAATGAATAAATGCCGTCTGACCTGCTGAATGTACTGAAAGGGGATCTTCTCCTGCTGGAACTGCTGGTTGACGAAAATGAGGGAGTAAAGGTAGCCCGTTCTGCCGTACAGCAGCTCATCAGGCAGCCTTCCTTTCCCCTGCACTACTGATGGCTGCAGCTGCAACAGCCTGCAAACAATCCAGCAAGCCCATCACAATAACATCCCAAGGGAATGAAACTCTGTCAAGACTGAGAAAGAGAAGCAGGACACAGAAAGAGCGGAGCTGCCCTCAAATCCTCCACATTTCACCCTCTTCTGGAATCATGAGGTCTTTTTCTTTAATGAACAGCAGCTCTTGGGAGTTTTCCAGGCCAATTCCAATAGCGTCCGACATGAAATAGCAAATCCACACAATGAAACTAGATCCAGCATGGACAGCTGATGACTAACAATACATTTCAATAGTTGTTTCTTCAGTATATCAGTGTATAGGAGATATAGTAATTTATGTTATATTTATTCATTTAAAAAATAAAAATACAGATAAAAATGTTATTTATTAAATTAAAATGATTTATTTTAACATATTTTTCTTAATAGTTTTTTTCTTTTTTATCTTTTATATTTTAGTCAGACATTTTGATCTTATACTAACTAAACTGCTTCACTGCTATACTCATGGAAGGATCAACCTTTAAACAGGACATTGTCAAACATACAGGGATAAAAATTAAAGCTGTTACTATATTGTAAATATTTTAAAAATTTTATATATATATATATATATATATATATATATATATATACACACACACACACACACACACACACACACACACACACACACACACACACACACACACACACACATATATATATATATATATATATATATATATATACATATATATATATATATATATATTTACACACACTTTTTCTACATAGCTTTTCAAACATGTCTAAATGTGTCCTATTTTTGATCTCTTCAGGGACATTTTCTGAATTTTGGTCAGAAATTTTGATCTCATACTGACAAAACTGCTTCACTGCTATACTCAGGGAAGGAGAAACCTTTAAACAGGACATTGTCAAACATACAGGCATAAAAATTAAAGCTGTATTACTATATTGTAAATTTTGTTTTTCTAAGTTAATATTAATTTTCTAAACAGCTTTTTAAATGTCTAAGTGATTATGTTTACATGGACACCAATAATCCAATTTTAATATGTTTAAGACAATACTCTGATTAAGAGTCTACCGTGTAAACAGCGATTTTTGATTATTTAAATCCAAAAAAGGTCATAATAGAACTAAACAGTAATCGAATTAAGACATGCAGTATGCCGGTTTTAGTGCCATTATTGAAGTGCAGTACAGACATGTAAACACCGCAATCAAACTATTACCGTCATTTAGGACTTTCGCCGAGTTTTGTGACAGGATATTCCATACACAAATGGCTGTTTTGACACTATCGTCTGCACCTATCGAATCAGTAATGGAGCACAGACACATACAGACACGAATGCTGAGTTTTTTTTTCTCCCATTCGTCGTGCAGGATCAAATTCCATTAAAACAACACTCTTCCACCAGTCCTTAATTCTTACTCACATCCAATCCATCAGTTTTTCATAGGGGACATGCATGAAATGTTACTGTATGAAAGTGAAAGTGCCAAACTGCAGTTAAAGTCGACAAATTAAAAGTGAAACACCCAAAATTACATGAAACTCCAGAGGAAATGTGGACAGCGCGGTTATCTATCTATCGTTAATTAATCTGTGTGCTACAACATATAATACAGGACCTAAAAGAAACATTTAAAAAGCCACTCATGTAAACACCTTAATTATATTATTGTCTTATTCAGATTAGGGCAAATAATTTGATTACTAATGCCCATGTAAATGTAGTCAGTGTCTATTTTTTTCTGAATTTTGGTCAGAAATTTTGATCTCAAACTGACAAACCGCTTCACTGTTATTTTTTATTTATTTATTTTTTTAAACATCAGTCTTTTAATAAGATGTCTACTGGTTTGTTGAATTCTATAAAAAAAAAACCTATCAAAATCAAAATGACTTTTAAATCTGAAAAAAATAAACAACATTGATTCTAAAACTACGCATTTAAGTCTATGTAATGGAAACCAAGTATATTGAATAGCAATAACTGAAAAAAATATATGAATTTAATTAACAATTAACAATTAATGGAAAGAGTTGTTTTTTTTAGATCCTGTAAAAATTAATGTAGCTGTTTATTTAAGCTGTGAATATTTTACACACATTTTCACACTTAAATTCAATACTTCGTACATGTCATTGTTCAAAAGAATTGCATGTTTAAAAATCATCTTAATATTTTTCAGACAAAAAAAAAAATGCACTACTGTTAAAAAGTTTGTTGTCAGTATCATTGTTTAGATAGTCCGTAGTTTTATTCAGCAAGAATACATTCAATTGAAGTGACTGTTCATAAGGAGTGCATTTTGTTTTTATTTCACATAAACTAACCAAATCAGTATAATCAAATTATCTCTGAAGATTCGTGTGACACTGAAAACTGGAGTGATAACTGTTTAAGCTTTGGGTGAATAAATTGTATTTTTAAAAGAACTTTATTCTAACATACAGTTGAAGTCAAAATTATTAGCCCTCCTGTATATTTTTTCTCCAATTTCTGTTTAAAGGAAATATTGTTCAACACATTTCTAAACATAATATTTTAATAACTCATTTCTAAAAAAAAAAAAAAAGATTTATTTTTAGCCTTTTTGCCTTAATTAAGTGGATAGAATTGTATTTTAGACGAGAAAACGAAGTGGGAGAGAGAGGGGGTAGGGACGGGAAACATCCTCGAGCCGGGATTCGAACTCAGGACGCCCTGAAGTGCTACTGCACCATATGTCAGCGCGCTAACCACAAGGCTATTGCGCCGACAATAACTAATTTCTAATAAATGATTTATTTTATCTTTGCCATGACGACAGTCCATAATGCTTTACTACATATATTTTAAGATACTAGTGATCAGCTTAAAGTGACATTTAAAGGTTTAAGAAGGATAATTACGTTAACTGGGCAAGTTAGGGTGATTAGGCAAGTTATTATAATGATGCTTTGATCTGTAGACTATCTATCGAAATATTGCTTAAGAGGGCTAATAATATTGACCTTAAAATGTTATCTTAAAAATGTAAGAACAGCTTTTATTCAAACCAAAATAAACAAATAAGATTTTATGAAGAAGAAAAAATATTATAAGAAATACTGTGAAAAATTCCCTGCTCTGTTAAACATCATTTGGGAAATATTTGAAAATGAAAGAAAAAAAATCATAGGAGGGCGAATTATATTGACTTCAACTGTATATCAAAATGAACAATTTGAACTAAAACCACCAGACAACATCAGACCTGTTCAGACACTCATCAGACTCCTGGTGTTTCTGGAGGCGATGATAAACCACGGCTGCGATGGCCAGCGGTCCTGCATCTCCACACAGGAAGGTCACCCAGCGCTGCGTTAAACTCCTCAGGCTGCGGTTGACGTAATCCAGAGCCCTCTGGAGGAAAGTCGGGTCTCCAAACACACTGTGGAGGTGCAGGTACAGCAGGGCAATTCCTACAGTCACAAAGCAGAGACTGTAAAGGGTTGTTCTGCTACTACTAATGTGTATTTCGCCATTTGAGACCTAAAATACTGTAAGTCTCTTGTGATTGAAAACACTGATCCTTTGTGATTTATGACAACTGCGGTGCATGGCGCTCTGACCACCAGTGTAATTAACTCATCAAAGGTTAATGAGCAGCCGCAGACTGAACTGTGGTAAAGTAATCGTCCTGCACTGAGGAGTAGATGATGTTTGCAGCACAGAATGATGACGCATGTCGCTCAAAGATTATGTAAAAGTCACATGAAATCCGACACAACAGGAAATATATTGTCGCATTGCAAAACATCAGATCTGTGTCTGATTTAATACTACATATTAAAGTGGCACAGATCTGACCTGAAAAGATCAGATTCTATGCGGTTTGGGCTGTTCACACTGTCATCACCAGAGTCACATGAGGGGAAAAAAAATCAGATTCGGGCCACATTTGCCTGCAGTGTGAACATAGCCTTAGAGTTTCCCAAATGATCCGTTTTCGGCACTAAAGATCTCCGGGCTAGTGTGGACGGAAGGCATAACTGTAGCAAAACTTATGAGTTTTAAAACTACAACATATTAGTGTGAATGAGGCCTAAGCCAAAGGAAAAGTAATTTACTGAAAAGAATCAAATTAACATCAAATTACTGAATATGTGCTAACAGCTCAGTTTTAATACATCAGTATTAAAGTGTGTTATCACCTGCCCAGCCAGTGTACCCAGTACAGTCTCTGGGGTCTGCATTCTTCAGCCCGTTCTCCAAAATGGCCAAAAGCTCACTGATCTTGCTGCTTATACTGGTGGCGAAATGCTGGGTCAACTGCACAGAGCAAAATATGTAAATTAATGAATGAATAAACACACACATATATACACATGCATATACATACAGATGAAGTCAGAATTACTAGCTCTCCTGTGAATTTTATATTCTTTATTAAATTTTTCCCAAGTGGTGTTTAACAGAGCAAGGACATTTTCACAGTATTTCCTATAATTTTTTTTTTCTTCTGGAGAAAGTTTTATTCGTTTTTTTAAACCAGTTTTTAATTTTTGAAAAAACATTTTAAGGTCAATATTATTAGCTCTTTAAAGCTTTTTTTTTTTTCGATAGTCTACAGAACAAACCATTATTATACAATAACTTGCCTAATTATTACCCTAACTTGCCTAATTAAGCATTTAAAATGTCCTTTAAGCTTAATACTAGTGTCTTGAAAAATATCTAGTAAAATATTGTGCGCTGTCATCATGGCAAAGATAAACAAATCAGTTATTGGAAATTAGGTATTTAAAGGGCACCTATGGTGACTTTTAAAGCTGTTTAGACAGACAGGTTGTGTAGATATAGCGTATAGACCGTCATATTGCAGTGATATAAACACACCCAGTGCTTTTCTTTAATTTAACAGCATAAAAACGGTGGACCAATTGGAGCGGTTTTTAAGCCGACCGCAACTTGACGTAGGAGTGCAGTCCCCCGCCCACCGAATTGATTGACAGCTGCGTATTAACATGTCCCGGCAGTCACATGTATAATCAGATCAACAAGAAAAGACGAGCGCAAAGCAACGGGGAATAAAAGGTCTGTTCAGTTTGCTAGGATCATCAATCGTCATCAAGAAGAGTGAGTTTCACAAGTTTAAAATGTTTTAAAACAGTGCATGTGTGTAATGAATTACAGCAATTTACTTCAGCTTTACTTCATCAGCACAGCCGCGTGTCAGAACAATTATAAAAGAAGACGCTTCAATCCCAGTCGGTGGACGTTAAATCAGGTTTATTTTGTACATTAGCATAACAGACATCCATGCAGCAGTGGAGATTAACCTATATCCTGTCACATTTGCGTGCAAAACGAGTGTAAAGCTAAACACATTCTGGAGACACAAAAGACTCGTATTAAATCCGAATAAAAGGAGTAACCTTGGTTTACTTCTTTTTCTGTGAGCTTTTTCTGTGGCGGGTCCTCGGTTACGGAATACCTTGCCCCTTGAGATTAGAATGGCTCTAGGGTTGTCCAATATGGACAAATGAATCACATTGTGATTTTATGAACGAATATTGCGATTTTATGAACGAATATTGCGATTATATTGCGATTTTATGAATGTATATTGCGATTATATTGCGATTTTATGAATGTATATTGCGATTATATTGCGATTTTATGAACGTATATTGGGATTATATTGTGATTTTATGAATGAATATTGCGATTATATTGCGATTTTATGAATGTATATTGCGATTATATTGTGATTTTATAATTGAATATTGCGATTTTATGAACGTATATTGCGATTGTATTTGCGATTTTGGCAACTGGTTTTGCCTTTACAAACAAACTACATACATACATTCTATGTATTTAGTGCACAAGAAGCGCATAATAAAAAAAATTCACAATGAAATAACATAGTATTAAGTTTAATAAACAAAACTGTAGGAAAATTGTCTTTAAAACAGACAACATAAAATAAATGTGGTGATAGACACTTGTTGCTCTTCCCCAAGATGCTAAAGTTTCTTTTAAACCTTAGATATATTTTCTCCAGTGTGATCTTTTGGGAAGAATGCTGTTTGCACTTTTCATTTGCAAACATCGACTTTTCATTTCAAAGTAGGCATTAATAGAGAGAACCGTTAAACTCGTGTACGGCTCCATTGTTCTGCTGGACCACAAATCTGTGATCGTGGCAAAGTATTGAGTAAACCTGCTTGAGCTCGTGTTCAACGCCCGTCTTACATTTCTCATACATTTCAGAAATAGCAAATCGTGTGAAATGAGTGCGATATGGCAGCTGGTATCTTTTGTCAAGTGTTTGTATTAGTCTTTGGAAGCCATCTTTACTGACGATGTGCGCTGGCATCATATCTTTGCATATATGATAGGTGATTGCGTCAGTAATTTCTTTGTGCCATTTTGACCCTTTCTCATAAGGCACGACGCTTGAAAATGCTTGAACAATAGATACTCGTTCAGTTTGTTTGGGCTGGCTTTGATGTGTGCTTTAGTTTGTTTCGATGGACTTTGTCGACATGCATTGATCAAGCAGTTTTTTATGACGCAAGTGTTGGAACAGATTTGTAGTAATGCTCCGTTTTGTTTGAATAATCATTTCACAAGTCTTGCAAATTACCTTGCTCTGTGACACACATCTTCTCTCCTGAATCTTATTACCTCCAAACAATTGATGTTCAATTTCTCTTTGGCACCAAATCATTTTTATTTTGACCTGCAATAATAATTTATGTTTTTTCCTCCTGCTCGCCTATTCGGTTTTCCCACTTAACTTTAGCTGGTTAACATCTTTCTCCCGCTCAGCTTAGCTGTAATTGCCCAGTGCGCAGCGTCAGGTCTGATGGGTTGACATTTTAAAATCATGCGCACAAGAACATATTCTCAATTAAATTCTAAATAAATTAACAGATAAAAATTGCAGCCTTATGAGGTTTAGAAATTGCACATGCTTAAATCACGTTTTTTGCAAATGCGATTAATTGCACAGCCCTAAATGGCTCCATCACTATCTATTTTTAAACCAGTCCTAAAAACGTACATTTTTAGCTTGGCTTTCTAATAGAATTTTAATAGTCCTACATTTTTTTAAGTTGTTTTTCTTGTCTTATTTTTATGCTTTTATGATCTGTCTTTTTATTTTACTTTGCCTTGTGTACAGCACCTTGGTTAGTCTTGTGACTGTTTTTAAATGTGCTCTATAAATAAATAAACTTGAAATTAACTTGAACTAGAAATGTGTTTACAAATAAATTAATCTTCTTTCCATTAAACAGAAATTGGGGGGAAATATACAGGGGGTAAATAATTCATGAGGGCTAATAATTCTGACTTCATAAACAAATATTTACAAATATAAAACATATACAGTTGAAATAATTCATAACAAGATATGATAAGGTAAGAAAGCAGATTATTAATGCATAACAGTGATGGTATTTGTGGTTTCAAATATTTATACGCTCCTAATATATATATAGGTATGCTATATACAGTGCTCAGCATAATTGAGTACACCCTATTTTTAAAATTAATAATTTTATCCATTTCTCAGTGAAGGCAATGTATTTTGGTGCATTTAAACTAAACTGGATTTATTAAACAGATTTTTTATTATTACAATAATATTTTAATCACCAAACATATGTAGAAATTAAAGATAATACAAATAAATGCAAGCAAAATATTGCAAACAAAATTAGAACCTACAAAACTTCATCTAAATTTATTCATATTTTTGCTTCTATTGATTTTTCCTCTTTTTAAAATTTGTATTTAATATTTTTCCTTAACATATAAATTAAGGTGTACTAGTTTTTGGACTGTTATCATAAGTTATTTTGTTATATAAGCTCCAGATTTGTCTTCAGGTCTGACAAATCTAATGTATATACGCAAATATAATATTGTATAGCTTCCTATTAAAAATATTAATTTTAAAGAGAAATTTGTGAGAGGTGTACTTACTGTACATATGCTAAGCACTGTATATGCATTTTATTTTTAATCACTCACATTTCCCTGCATGTCAAACAAGTCTTGTGCACATCCCAGCCCAGTGTAATCTGGATAAGGATTCTTCAAGGCTCGTTGTTCAGACATTTTGAAGAGATCTGAAATAAAGAGCATTCAATTATTCATTTTTTCTTGGGCTTAGTCCCTTTATTCATTAGGGTTGGCCACAGACGAATGAACCGCCAACTAATCCAGCACATGTTTTACGCTTCCAGCTGCAACTCAGAACTGGGAAACATCCATACACACTTCTTCAGAAACTACAGCCAGTTTAGTATTCAATTCCCCTATAGCACATGTCTTTGTTGGGGAAACCAGAGCACCGGGAGGAAACCCACGCCAACACGGGGTGAACGTCCAAACTCCACACAGAAATGTCAACTGACCCAGCCTGGGCTCAAACTAGCGACCTTCTTGTTGTAAGGCGACAGTGCTAACCCCCGAGCCACCGTGTCGCACTAATAAAGAGCATAATTAAAAAAAAAAAAAAAAAAAAGATGGCAGCTCCATTTTGGAATAATATTTTAGGCCACGATGGTGATGCCTGGCCTTAACACGGAAATAAAACATTTAGTTAATCACAACATGCGTGTTCCAATATTTTCATACATTTTTTTAGCCACTCAGATGCACATATGAATGTTGTTGTTGTTATAATTTGCAGGTTTAAATTAAACGTTTTATTGTTTACATAATAAATACTCGTGTCGAATATTTAAGGTTATTATTTGTACCCCTGAATTTAATATTTCTGGGCCTCATATTCGTCTAAAATACTTTACGTTGAACGTTTATCTGAATTACAGACCTGTAATGTAGAGTCATCTGCTGTGTATAAAAACTTATGACGCACCAAAATCCTGTGATACTGAAGCATGCGATTAGGGCCTACAAAATAAATCCGCACAGACCCAGATGTTCAGCTCACAAATTGTATAATGGGAACACTATCCAAATTATTCGTTTTATGAATCTACAATAATATATTTGCAGTTACAGTTAGTTAAATAAAACCGGGGCCGAGAAACACACGCCCCCTTCTTTACTCTCCGACAATACAAGAATGCGTGAAGAACAAAACATGCAGGAAATAATTCTGGCTTAATACTCGCGCAGCAACAGCAGGCGTTTGCAATCACATGTGCTCTTGGCAAAACAATTTCCTAACATTTATTTTATAACAGTAAACATACCGTTCGAGTGCTGCACTGTTGAATTCTTCTCGTCTGATCTCAGGACACGCTGTTTTGGTTTGACTCAATGCCGCCATCTAGTGTTCAGGAGGGTCATCGTCATTGTCGTCATCATTGTGATAGGTAAATAATAATTATTTATTATTAATTATACTAGATAATTAATAAATACTAGAACGGTAGGTCTATGTAGATTTATTTCTTTTTTAAATTTATTTTGATGATTAATTGATCTGATTATTTTAAAGTTTTAGGAAAATATTGCACACATGCTTTCATAAAAAATAAAATAAAAATAAATAAAACAAAATTAAATAAAATAAAAATAAAATGAAAAGTAAATAAAATAAAATTTATGTTAATTAGCTAATTTATTAATTGGGAATAAAACCAAGTTTTGAGAAAATATTGCACACATAAAATAAAATAATAATAAAAAAAATTATATATATATATATATATATATATATATATATATATATATATATATATATATATATATAGATAGATATATAATTTAATTAAACAAAATTAAATAAAACAAATAAAATAATAAATAAATGAATAAATAAATTAAAAAGAAAAGAAAATAATAATAAATGTTATCGAACTATTTATTATTGGGAATAAAAACAAGTTCAACTTTCCAAGTTTTGGTAAAATATTGCACGCATAAAATAAAATAAATTATAAAAATAAAAAACATAAAATAAAAATAAAATAATAATAAATGTTAATTATATATATATATATATATATATATATATAATATTTGGGAAAATATTGGACGCATGCTTTCCTAAAATAAAATAAAATAAAATAAAATAATACATGTTAATTGACTAATTTATTTATTGGGAATAAAAACAATGCTAAATCATTGCTGTCATGGATATCAAATAATATGTAAAATACAATATAAATTTTATATATTTTTTTTCTAATATAAAGATTAAATTAAATTTAGTGATAGATCTAGAAACAGTGAAGAGTGTGATCATGTTTAGTGACAAAAAAACAAACAAACCTGTTGCAGTGTACATGTTAATACTGTATATCATAACAATTATTTAGTGTTTGGATGTTGCAAATAAGGCACAACCCCCAAAATAAACCCTCAGATATGAATACAACTAAAAATAAATAATACTAAAAAGTCTGTTTTACTCTATTAATTTGCATGATTTTCAGGCCTTTGTTGACAGGAAGAAATGCTCTTGCCGTGAAGTTTCCTCAGTAATGTTATAGCTGACAGGTGATTGGTCATGAAATGATGGCAGTGCATGAATAGAATGAAGGAAGATCTTTTATAACACCTGTGCTATGCGTCTCTTTTATAATCTTTGTGATCTGCATGACATATCTATAATTAGAGATGCGAGCTACCATTATGTGCTGAGCAGCTGAATGTTGTTAGATAACTGCTATATATTTTTTTACATTTCTTTTGCAAAATCTCCCTCAAGACACTCTAATGTAATGTGATCCACACTTCTTCATCCTGTAGGAAAGAAAAAGCATAAGTTAGAATAATATTTTTTAATTTTTTAATTACATTAAAACAGATTTGATTTGACACAATAGTTTTTTTCCCCCCACTGGTTTAGACTGTATCTCCTTCCTTTTTATTTATTTATTTTTACTTATTTATTTTAAATACTGTGTATGTTTTACTTTAGTTTGTTTGCTGCTTAGTTTTGATGTTTTGTATTGTTAACTTTTGAAAAAGCTAAATAAAAATATATAATGGGAAAAATACAGAAATATACAGGAGGGCTAATAATAATTAAGGAGGGCTATAATTCTGACATAAAAAATAAATTAAAACAAATAAAACAAAATTAAATAAAAATAAAATAAATATAAAATGAAAAGTAAATAAAATACAATTTTATGTTAATTAGCTAATTTATTAATTTGGAATAAAACCAAGTTTTGAGAAAATATTGCACACATAAAATAAAATAATAAAATAAAATAAAATAATATAAAATTAAATTAAATAAAATTAAATAAAATAATAAATAAATGAATAAATAAATAAAATGAAATTAAAAATAAAATAAAATAATAATAAATGTTATTGAACTATTTATTATTGGGAATAAAAACAAGTTCAACTTTACAAGTTTGGTAAAATATTGCACACATAAAATAAAATAAATTCTAAAAATAAATAACATAAAATAAAAATAAAATAATAATAAATGTTAATTACCTAATTTATTGATTGAGAATTAACACAAGTTCAACTTCCTAAGTTTTGGGAAAATAATAATATATTAAAACAGATTTGATTTGACACAATAGTTATTTTTTTCCACTGGTTTAGACTGTATCTCCTTCCTTTTTATTTATTTATTTTTACTTATTTATTTTAAATACTGTGTATGTTTTACTTTAGTTTGTTTGCTGCTTAGTTTTGATGTTTTGTATTGTTAACTTATGAAAAAGCTAAATAATAATATATAATGGAAAAAAAAACAGAAATATACAGGATCAGGCTAATAATAATTAAGGAGGGCTATAATTCTGACACGAACAGTAAATGATGAGAGAATTTAAATTTTTTGGGGGGGTGAACCATCCCTTTAAGAGTGCAGGGTAGATGAAATGGGAGCAGCATGAGTTGAGCGAGCCTCATCATATTGTCACGAGACCATCAATGTCATGAAAAAGGTGCACACGGCACGGGCAAAGGCAGGCACCAGAGAGCTTTTCCACCGACGCTCAATCCTCAACATGCAAACCTCCGCCAAATTGAGTTATGAAAATTTGATCAGAACGTTAATGCAAAAACGGCCCAGTACAGTGCGCTCCCACCACTGCCAACAATGTGGATAATCAGACTGCCACTCTCCCACTTAATAGAAGCATGGCAGGAACTCAGCCTGAATACTGATCTCCTCTGTATTCTTCGCTAACCCTCAAAGGACAAAGTTCAGCTCCGTTCTTTGTGCGCAGCGACCTACAGTACCAAGAAGAATAGTTCTGTTCTGTTTGTGATTACGGTGTCACTGAATGAGTTTTTTGAGCGCGTGGGTGGTCATTATGTTTGAATATGTACAAGATGATTACTGTTGGTGTCAATGGCTAACTCTAAGCGCTGTGAATGACGACGGTGTAGCGAATTTGTAGTCTGAACAATGGCTTTTTCTCTGGTGGCAATCACCTGTATAATTACTGTGCAGTTGGGGAACAATGGCTAGATCTAAGAGGTAATTGCCACAGGTATATAATCCCCGTCTCTCGCCACTCAGAAAAGTTTTAAATATCCAACAGACGCACTTGGAGATGAATATTAAGAGTTGTGAAAAGCCCTAAGTGTGTGTTCCTTCACGCAAAGGATAAGGGTTCGAGAGCTAGACATGAATTGTGTTAAGAGGATGGAAAATAGGATGTTTGGTTGTAAAAAGAGTGAGTTAGAATTATAATTATTTTCTAGAGAAAGTTCATCATTTGAGATGATTATATGCAAGTGATTTACATGCAGTCATGTGGCATGTTTTTCTGCTTTACTAAACATTACTTAACCTTAAATCTATGTGTTTTATTTGCAGATTTCTAAGGCTGAACCAAAATTGTTGTCTGATTAATAGTTTGTGTATATGCAAATATTGCAACCGACATGAAATATATGGTCATTTTCCTGCCTGACCAGCTAAGACCAGGCTGGAAATGGCTGGAAACCAGCCCGGAAATGACCAAAACCCTCTAAAATCAGGCTGGTCAATCAGCTAAAACCAGCCAACCAGCCTAGGCTGGTTTAAGCTGGATTCTTCAGCAGTGAATTAGTGAGTGAATGAATAGACCAATTACCAACCTACGTCACACATGACGTCACACGGGTCCCCGGTTGCAAAAAAAGAACAGGCTGCAATGGGAAAGATGTTGTGTTGTGCGGTAGGATGCCGAATTCGAGTCCAAAAATAGAAAACTTAACTTTTACCATACACCACACACTGCTTTACTACCGACTGCAGACGTCTTTGGCTAAATGGGAGCTGAATGAAGTAAGGAGCTAATTAGAACCCTGCTGAAAAATCCAGCTTAAACCAGCCTAGGCTGGTTTAAGCTGGATTTTTCAGCAGGGTTGCTGAATCACTGTGCTTGTCACTGGGTGACGAGCTGTTATAATATGCTGTAAGCATTCTGTAAATAATATATATAATATGTAAGTAATATATCTTATTTCTAAGACAACAACAAACTCTGCACCGCATCTGATGTCATTTCCTCGCTGTGAATGCTAGGGCTCCCGGTTGCTTTCTGCCACCTCCCTGCGCGCGCATCCTGAATGTTTACAAACATGGTAATTGGTCTATAGGTACCACACCAATGACAGCTGCTGTACCTTTACTTTTGAGAATGGCCAACAACAATGATGTAATATCCCCTCTGAAGTCGACATAAACTATAAAGTTTAAACATGTTCCTCAAATCTGATTGGATAACTAAAATATTATTCCTGGGTCAACAAATATGACGACTCAGGACCCTTTTTCCCATCCCTTCTCTAGATGTTGTCATAGTAAGCCTATAGGTGGCAGTATTGCCATAATAAACAATATCTAAAATCTCTGCCTGCGCCGAACACAAGCTTTATTTGGCCCGACTCCTCGCTCCCACATTTTCTTTGTCTCCCCTCAACAAAGTGTCTCACTCTCTGAAACTACACCTGTGATATCAGCGAGCCACACACCCCGAAACCAGACGGGTTGCCTTCTCATTTACCAGACTGGGATCCTCCTTCCCTTTTGAAGTGTCTTTCACTCTTTCTCCCCGTCAATCTGCCACTATAGCCGAGCTGCTAACTGCTAGAAAATAGATTGTGTAGCTACCATACCTCCCATATTAACAACTTCTGCCCCCCAAAACAACAACAACAAATAGGACTCGGCGCTTTTCTCGCTCCCAGCTCTCGAGACTGCTTAGCCTTCCTAATCAGAGAGCAATGCTAACAGCCTCTGTGGACGAGTCCCTGAATGGACTTAATAAACACACTCCTCATTAAAAAAAGAACTTGATTTAATTGC